GTTATAATATCCTGTTGCATGAAGTAATCTCAGTTATAAGACAATAGAAATGCCAATAATTGAACACAGATTCAATTGTAGAGTTAAGAACGCTTTGTTTAAGGGTCCACATTCTTGAGAGTCCACTGTATGTTGATTTCACAAAAAAAAAAAACCTACTTAGCAAAAACACGACTTTCAAATGAATTCGTTAATTCCCAAAACATGTTAACTTGGACAACTGGTTAAATTAGACAAATTGTTAAATAGGACAATTTCAGTTGGTAAAACACTGTCCAGATTAAGAAGGTTTCACTGTTTACACACTAAATGTAAACTTTGAGGATGGATGTCATTGTCCTTGGAAGACTGGTAACCATGACAACAAACAACCTCTTTAACAACTTAAAAACACACATTTGATAAAATTCTTAAAATTTGTTCAAGTTATTGCATTTGTGCATGGATAAAACATGTAAATATATGTATAGGAACATGTTAAAATGCAGAGTAAAATAACTTGTAATGTACACCATATAGAGAACTGTTTCACTTCATCAGTACAACATGTTAAAAAAACTTCTATGAAAGATAGGAGAGCGGAAGGTCGCGGTTTCGATCCCCGACCGCGTCATACCAAAAGACGTTAAAATATGGTACTTGTTGGTCCCTCCCTGCAGGTCGTCATATGCGCAAAATAATCTCCAGCGCGACGTTAAACCCAATTTCACTTCACCTCACCTCTATGAAAGATACATATCCCTGCAATCACTGTTCCTTCACGAAAATCTGAAAGATATGTCTAAATACTACAAAATTAATATATCTCTATTAAATATAGAGAGTTAATGGTGTTTTGATATGTTTCCTAGCTATATAACACTGATAATGGTAGCGGTAAAACCCTAATATGGTAGCAGTGCTGATAAACCAAGGATTATGATTAGTGTGACTCTGGAATTCAATCCCATAAAAAACAGACCATGTAGCTATGGGGCTCAAGTCTTTAAGTTACGTTTTTATGGGTCAGGGGAATATTATTATTCAAGTACATGACAAGTCAGGTCACATTATCACAGTGGCTTCACATTATGTAAACACATATAGATTCAAACTGTGTCCGTTGTTGCTTGGCTAACACATTCACCACAGGGCTATCACATGATCTAGCCTGACAATAGATGATACCAGTGTTTTGGGATACAGCATACAAAGCTATCAATCAATAATATTATAGCAGCAAGGCACTGCATACAATATATCAGGACATTTTTAGTGTAAAATTAAAATATACCAACTTGAAAAATTCATTTTAAAAAATTCAAAACATCCTTGTTTATTAGAAAACAAAAGTACAACTGAACTATGTATTTAATGTGGACCAGTAAAAACATCTTTTCCCATATGTATCTCGATGCTCAAAACATGGAATTAGTCTGGCCTACAGACATTACAAATACAGCAGTGATGTTATTTTTTCATTTCCACCTTTAAAGCATTTTACCATAACAACAATAAATAAACAAATTATTATCAACAAAGAACTCTATTTTGAAGCACACATACCATATCTGAGGTAGCCATGCTAGAAAAACACCCCATGTCTTTTGAAGAGAAAATCTCATAAGTGCTATATTAATTTATATATTGATAAAATAACACACATACTTCAATTCATATCTCAAGAGTCATCACTTTTTAAGATAATTTAGAATGAATAACATTAACCTTTTAAAAATGCAAGTAAATGGTACATTGGTTCTAAAATCACTGACACTGGTTAAAATGGTACAAAATAAGTGATTACTATGTTTACAAATACAATTTAAAAATACAATTTTCTAAAATTAAGTTATGTTTCTCATGATGCCAATACTTTATTAAATATATCATGGCACTGATAAAATCATACAAATTTGGCAGGGAAGCATAATCATAGTAACCATGGCCTCGGCTTATATCTTTATAATTCAAATCACAAAGGCCAAAAGAGGTCAAATGGTATAGTAGAATTAGGTTTATGTTGATAACTGGATATATTCTCAAAAAGAAAATCTTCATTCCTACCCAGTAAGTTGTCATGAGAAACTAGAATAGTTTTTACCAACTTTGTTCTAAGGAGCAATCATTGCAGTCATTGTGAGTTACAAGCGGCTTTCAGCAATATTCCAGCAATATCCTGGCGGGGGACACCAGACATGGGCTTCACACATTGTACCCATGTGGGGAATCGAACCCGGTCATCAACCACGATGCCCATGGCGCTTTAACCACTAGGCTACCCTACTGCCCCCACAGCAGCCATTAAAGCCACTTGCACAGCCTGCATTGTTGTTTCCTGTTTGGATCCTCTATGTCATCACTACACACCTGGTCACAGTCAAGTACCACAATACACTACCTTGTAAATCTAACCCCCTCAATAAAAGACATTTTAGGACATGCCCTCAATCCTTTTACAGAGTTGTAAGGTACCGATCCCAATCTAACCCCACAAAAACGCAATCAAGGGAATGCTAGTTTTTAAACCATACTCTATCTAAAAACATAATTAACTGAAGGCAAAAATTGTTAATAACTGATACAGATTCTTAATCATGATTTGCAAAAAAACTGATTATCTGCATTTGGTTATTTTAATAAGATAATGATTCAGTAATTAGATTATGTGGAAAACAAAACAACATGGTCAAACATATGAATAATAATTAGTTTTTCTTGCCAAATAACGTGTTTGTATCATCAGTGGCTTGCTATATGTAATAGGGATGTCACGATACATAAGTTTCATGAATCGATTCATATCACAATACCTATGTCACGAAAAATCACATTATCCGCGATACCCAAGTCCGCGATTCGATGCGTATCCACGATACCCATGTCACGATTCAATGCATTATCCGCGATACCCATGTCACGATTCAATCATTCACTCCGATACCTTTTTCAGCGGCATTATTATGCGTAGAATTTAGTTACATTTTCAACATTAATATTTCAAATTTTATAACTGTCCATGAAAATATCAACATTTTTTATTCTCAGAGATTAAAAAGTTCTAATTTCCTATCTTTGTGCATGAAAAATAATCATTTAAAACTCTCATAACATAAAAAACATGGTACAATTGCAAAATTTAACCGATACATAAAAATATTCAAACCGATACTTTCAAAACTAAATATTGATACAGTTTTGAATTTATCGATAATTGTATCATCTTAGTAAAAGTATCGATACATCGATATATCAATGTATCGTGGCATCCCTAATATGTAACAAGTGTTATGTATGGGATCACATATTCTTAGTAAAGTACACATTCTTGGACATGAGTCCCATCTGGGATTCGAACCCGCACTCTCACGGTAAGATACCAAACTGCCAGCACTCAAAGACAGGTATCTATCCCATTAAGCTATACTAAAATGTCCAAAAAGTCTGTGTGAGTGAATGAGCATGGTGCTAAGTTGCTTTTAGCAACATTCCAGCAATATCATGGCAGGGGACACCAGAAATGGGCTTCACATATTATTTCCACATGGGAAATCGAACCCGGGTCTTCAGCCAAATGAGCAAACACTTTAACCACTAGGTTACCACAAGAAAATGTACTCCCAAAGACAACACTCATCACATCTGACACCTTTCTAAAAGGCATTGTGTATTCCCGACAATAAAAAATATCGTACTGTCATGAACAATGGACAAGACGAAATATACACGCTATTTGGCAAGAAAGGACAAACAATCTGTTTAATATGTACTTTCTTTCTCATTTTCTTCATGATCTGACAACCATTGTGTCATAGAAGAATACTGAGAGTACTTACAGCATAAAGTGCTATATCACTTGAGTGACATATCAAAAGGATTTCTTCTGATTAATAAAGTATTTCATAACTAAAGCATTATGGTAATGGAGGCTTATGCCAACAGCTTGACAACAGTAAGTTCTCTTGTGCATGAAGGCACTCGTGAACTGGGAGGATCTATACAAACAAGGACCTAAGACTAGGGGTGAAACAGTACGCTCCTACCATGGTACAGTACGTATTGCGGTTCAAGGCCTTTGGGTGGGTCTGTTCGAGTTCATTATATGAAAACTTACTTCCAGGAGAATAGCGGCCTCGAGCAAAGAAATGCACAGATTTTGACGAAATAATTTGATTTCTAGGCATTTTAGAAATGGTTTGAAAAGGTTAATAAAATGAAGGTACAAAAACCAAAATTTTGGAATGCATTACGGTATACCGAATCAAAGGCAAAATACTGTGGTTCTACTAATACCACGGTTTACCGTGTCACCCCTTCCAATGACAACAAGAGTTATAACAAATAAAAGAGATAAATATTATGAATTTTCAGATTTAAGAGTATTAATGAGTATTTGATGCTTTGGAATTTCATTTGGAATTGAGAACATTAATTAGTATTGGTATTAAATGTCAAAATTTTAACATCATACAATGACAAAACTACTAAACCATATCTGTATTCCCTTCTCCTAGTGCGAACTCTCCTGGTTGTAAGACAGACAGGATGTCACTCTGTAATACAATGACATCATGACACAATGGATTATGTCATATACTTCTGTGATAACAGAACCTGTTCACAAAGCAAGAAGGAACAGAGTAATCAAAGATACTCTGGTAATAATGGATCGCAATATAGAATAATTCAGGGTCCATTTCTTGAAGCTGAAAGTATTTTCAAATTTGGGAAAAAAATAAATATGCATTCAGAAAAGAATTCATTCACAGTGAAGCATCAGGTAACAGAGGACACCAGAAACTGGCTTCACACATTGTACCCATGTGGGTAATAAAACCCTGGTCTTTTAGTGACACACCTGTGAAGATCCGGATTAGAATTGGTTTTCAGAAAACCCATGATTGTCGTAAAAGGCGACTAACGGGATGGGTGGTCATGTCATCGTATCCCAGTTGTGTAGATTGATGCTCATGTTGTTGATCACTGGATTGCCTGGTCCAGACTTGATTATTTACAGACTGCGCCATATGGCTGGAATATTGCGAGGAGTTGGCGTTAAACAACAAACCAACTAAGCAAAGTTTTTTAGTGGGAGTGAAGCGCTTCAACCACTCAGCTATCCAACATCCCCGTGTTGCATAATAATTCCATTGATTGCATTTTTATCAATTACTTAACTCAGAGGGCAGGGTTTCAGCCAAATGGAGGCAAATATGACCGGATCTTTCTCAGACCATTTCAGTCTTTGTTCAACTCGGTAAACAAACTGAGAACAAAGTGACAACAAAGTGACAATGAAGTGACGATGTACTGACGATGAAGTGACGATGAAGTGTATCAGCTACCTCAAGAAGTAAGAAGTTAAACCTTGAACAATATCTCTCCTTTGACCCACGGTACATTTTGCATTGGTAATTGTTTTCTCACAGAGAGAACAAAAACAAACAGAAACAAGAACAAGTTCTCCGCTAAACTGACAGCATGATAAAGCAAGGAAAACCAAATTCTCTGTTGACATTATCTCTTTCAATGTTTCAAATTCCTAGATACAAATTTTAATAAGAAAACAATGTCGTTTGAAAGTTGACTTCCCCAGCAGAACTCTTGATATGGACATTGAAATTTGAACAAATTGAAATAAATGTAAAGAAAACCCAAATTCAAAAATACATTAAAATTTAATTTAAAAAAAGTCTTTTTGCATCCTTTGGTTGGGAAAAAAGAAACAGAATTGAGGCCACAACAAAGGGACCTTAGCATAACTCATATACAGTAAGTTAACAACAATCACTGCCGTACTAAGATCTTTTTGTGGGGCCAGGCTCTGTCAATACCAAATTTTGATAAACTGTTTGAACTGTACTGGAGCCATTCGACTTGGAATTCATACAGAATCATATAAAACAAAACAAACATCAGTTAATAACGCTAAACATAACAAACAAAAATAAAAGAAGTTGCTAAGATACATGAAATATTTCTGTTTTGTTTGGAAATTGAGAATACAGTCAAACATTGTTGAGTCGAAATTGACGGGACTATACCTAGAGTTATCCGACATTCGACATAACTGGGAAATGATAAAGAAAGCATACAAACGGATCAAATCTTTCTCATCAAGATAACCATATCTTTGACACATGAAAGTTCGACACAACAGTGTTTGAGTGTACTTCGCCGAGTATAAAAAAATTAAATAGTTCCTGTTTGTGAACTAACGCAACATTACTCCCAACCTGGTGGTAACTCTAGACCGAAGACCGAATACAACGCCCAATCATATAAAACAAGGAACCAATTAGAATTGTCTTAAAATACTGTATACATAGTATATATCTTGTACTAATGAAGTTTGATCCCAAAATAAGAACTCTGTGAACCATGGTAATTACAAACCACGGTTACCATGGCAACTACAAACAGCACCCTGATTGGCTGGTAGAGGAACTTGGTGTGACCCCATGTCCCCATTGATATCTTGTGTCCTCTGGTGAGTCTTTGGAACAGGTGAGTTCTCATGTACCCTGGTGAGTCCACTTCAACCCTGGTGAGTCCTCCTGTATCACAGTACATCTTTGGTTGGTCCTGGTGACGACACGGCTTGATACACGGCATCATCACACGTTAGATACAACAGATCTCCGAACTTCTTCATGAAGCCTGTAGACTCCAGTATCCCTAGACTGGCCTCTAGAAACAGAGTCAAATCAACGATATAGAAGAAACTGCTTGTTGGTCTGGGTGCCGTTTTACCAAGCAGACTCAGCACTACAATTGTCGTCATATGTTAAGATATTGGAGTTACCATCACATTAGTGCTCAGATCGCTTTGTACAACGGCACCCTGGTGTATTAAAAATTGTCGGGTTGTTAGGAGTGTTGAAATAGTGATCAAGGAATTTGTATCCTTAAGCAGATTTTTAATGTACCGTATATGACCGTCTATAAGACGACCCCATGGATAAGACGACCCCCAAACTTGACCCTTAAAATCAGTGTCAAAATGTGCTTACCACGTTCATGAGGGTCCGTATAACCTTAGCATTGATTATATATATTTTACATAAAAACTGTAAATAAAATTACACAATGCTAGGATATATTTCTTTGGGTTAAATAATAGTATTCTGTATTATATTTTACTGACGACTGCGTCAGAATTCATCCCGTTATATTATTGTGCATGTTTGAACTTGTTCGCCGGGAAACGTGTGCACAGCTGATTGCTATTTCCGGCTCAAATACACACGGTAATCTAAATTAATTTATAGAGCAAAAACTGTAACTAAAATTACACAATGCTAGGATATATTTCTTTGGGTTAAATAATGGTATTCTGTATTATATTTTACTGATGACTGCGTCAGAATTCGTCCCGTTATATTATTGTGCATGTTTGAACTTGTTCGCCGGAAGCGTGTGCACAGCTGATTGCTATTTCGGCTTTGTATGCAGAGACAAAATCATACGGTAATCTTAATCCCTGCAAATAATACAATGCCCAGCAAAAACAACTTATAACTTAAAAGGTAAATAATCTTGTCTAGTGATGTTTAATTGCAAATTTGACGTCTCTACTGACAAAGTCGTCTTCTGTTGTTTGTTCACGCGAAGTGATACCATGTTGTTTTCTTACCCCTGGAAAAAAGTTTGACAAAGCGTAACCCATGGATAAGACGACCCCCTTCTACAGACTGCTTTTTTTGGTCCTCAAAATTCGGCTTATAGACGGTCATATACGGTAGTATGTATGATTTTACTATCATGTTGTCCGTATATCCTTGAACATTTTGTAATCAGGTTTGTTCATGTGAGGGGACTGTATATCGCTGTCATATTACCTCATCTTTATTCTGATAAAAGCTGCATATATATTGGAATAACCTTGATCTAAGCATCTGGTAAAATGTAAACTCACGTCCACAAACCAGGATGTACAGAATAAACAGTGCTGTCACTGAAAGTTCAGTCATCACAGTTACTTATGATCAAAATATTTGTAAACTTCTTCAGAAAAAGATAACAATTCTTGTGATCCTTACCTCTCACTTCTGATAGAAAAACTTCAACATTTATAGACTTGTATTCTGCTATAATCTAGAACAGAAAAAGAATAAATCAAAATGGAGTCTCCACGAGAGATATATGTAATTTTGGTGTCAAAATGTCCGCGATCTTAATGTCACAATAAGTAATACTTCAGCTTTAGTCTGTAAATAACCAAGTCTGGTACATATAATTCTGTGACTGATATCATGAGCATCGTCTGTGTAATTGGGATTCCATGATGTGTCAACCCAGTCAGCTGGCCTGATCCTCTGATCCCAGTAGTCGTCTTAGCATGGCATGGGTGCAATGTGTGAAGCCCATTTCTGGTGTCCCCTGCCGTGATGTTGCTGGAATATTGCTAAAAGCGGCGTAAAACCAAACTCAGTCAGTCAGTCAGTCTTAGCATGGGTTGCTTTAGACCCATTCTAACCCGGATCTTCACGTGGCATGATCAAGTGATTCTGTTGGATTTTAGGCTACTCTCAGTATTATTAGGGGTTGGTGGGTTAGCCTAGTCATTAAAGCATTCTCTCGTCACACCAAAGATATGGGTTCATTTCTCCACATGGGGCCAATTTGTGAAGCCCATTTCTGGTCTCCCCTGCCGTGAAACAGCTGGAATAATGCCAAAGTGGCACAAAACCATACTCACTAACTTACTCAGTATTATTCAAGTCATGAATGGGCTTCACACAGCTAACAAGATTATCTCGGAAACTGACCCTAGGTGTTTAGAAAGGCAAGCCAGCATATTAACAACTTGGGTAGCAAAGCTGTCATGGGTAGGAGTGTGAGAATTAATCGACTCAAATCCAAATGGGACTCAACCAAACAAAATTACTAGAATCTGTAATTTGCTGAGAAAGTGTAATACCTAAAATCACATTTGTTACATCTGACCACATTTGACATGGCATTGGGGCGAGTGGGGTAGCCTAGTGGTTTAAGTGTTGGCTCGTCACGCTGAAGACCTGGGTTCGAATCCCCACATGGGTACATTGTGTAAAGGCCATTTCTGGTGTCCCCCGCCGTGATGTTGCTGGAATATTGCTAAAAGCGGCGTAAAACCAAACTCAGTCAGTCAGTCAGTGACATGGCATTGTGTTAAATCAATGTAGTATGAGAATCAGCAAAGTAAAACAGCTTGTTGTATCCATACTCACTGGCCATTTTGACCAATCAATTACATCCATACAGAACAGTGTGTATTGATGGTGTATATAACAAGCTACTGGGATATATGGTGAGTGTACTGGATTGTTTTTCAGCTACAACTCCCAAACCAGATTTTTTTTACATTAAGTACAATCTATTTCAAACGTGTTATCTTGCAACAATCTTTATTTGTGAGGATAAAATCCCTGGCTCCCTTCAACCAGGTTGATCCCTTATCACAAGTATGAACTAGCGCACAGAATAATCTGAAACCTTTTATTTCCATGGGTTGAATTCGACAAGTGACAGCTTTATGTAATATAGACCATGTACCAAAGCTTGAAACATTTGTAAATTTAATCTATAACATTGTGCACAAATCTCAAATTTTCAGGAGTCCTTAAACAACTCAGCCATTTATCTAGCTTTTCACTCACTCTTACCTGCTGTATAGCTGTAACACCCATGATATCTAGAAATGTGACGCCAGTCATATCTATGACAATATGGTGTAGTGAAGACTTTAAGTCTTTGCTGCCTGGCAACAGGTAGATGGCAGTGTCTGGAGCACTGTCAGCATTGTTGGCGTCGTTCGTGGCAGCATCCCCGTCTCCACCTATCGGCCGCTGTGGAACAGTTCAAAATTAGTCAGTTACAGATCTGTTATTCATGAACTGAAAGCGCGTCTTTCGTTTAGTTTGTGCTGAATCGAGTTTAGCTTTATGCTGCACTCAGCAATATTCCAGCTATATGGTGGCAGTCTGTAAATAATCGAGTCTGGACCAGACAATCTAGTAGTGATCAACAGCATGAGCATCGATCTGCACAATTGGGAACCGCTGACATGTGTCAACCAAGTGAGCAAGTCTGACCACCCGATCCCGTTAGTCGCCTCTTACGACAAGCATCGGTTACTGAAGATCAATATTCTAACCCGGACCTTCACGGGTTAGTTTGTGCTGAAAGCTTTTGCAGTAAGTAAGAATATTTTGCCATTATTCTCTGCATATTTCCCACCATATAAGTGGAATATTGCTGAGTGCAGCGTAAAACTGAACTCACTCACTCTGCATATTTCAGTCTCAATACAAGGACTAGCATATTCTCGTCTTACTCGACCCTGGGATTTTTTCAGGATTGTAAACTAGGTGACCCTGGAAGTGGATACAACATCTCCAATTCATGGCAGCTTCAAAAGAAAATCTCAAGAGCCGCCAGCAAGTAATATTGAAATAATTGAAAAATCTGAACCTCAATAAGATAAGACATCAACTTTGGGGTGGCCTAGTGGTTAAAGTGTCTGCTCATGCCGAAGACCCGGGTTCGATTCCCCACATGGGTACAATGTGTGAAGCCCATTTCTGGTGTCCCCTGCCGTGATACTGCTGGAATATTGCTAAAAACCATCCTCCTCCCCTAAGACATGAACCTGGCCATACCTCCCGGTAGTTGTTGCCTACATGGTTTGTCTCCTCCTCCTCCTTATCAACCACAATCTCCTTCGTCTTCTTCCGCCTTTTTAAGGGATTCACTCCCGACAACTTGTACACTTTCTTCTTGAAAATGTCTGCATTGGCAAAATACAGAGGCGAGTCCATGCGGATCACTCTGACCCCGGACATCTCCTTGACCTGTAGAAGGAAGACATGATAAGACCGTTCTATAACATCGCATTTGTGATGAGATTGTGAGTGACAGGGTTAGGCTGCATGGATCTAAATGTATTAAGAGGTGAGGTGGGGTGAGGTGAAATTGGGTTTTACGTCGTACTTGAGAATATTTCGCTCATTTGATGACGTGCATGCGTGTTTATGTGTATGTGCGGCTGCTTGTACTAGCCCAGACTTAAGCTGGTTTTATAGTGCTAGCCCACTGAGATACCATGCCGCAGTGAAGCATGAATATCCCAATCAGACACATTATACTGACTCCAAGCCGACCAGTCCTTGTTGTACCCATTAATGTCGAGCGCCAGACAGAGACCAACAAGTACCATATTTTAACGTCTTTTGGTATGACGCGGTCGGGGATCGAACCCGCGACCTTCCGCTCTCCGGGCGGACGCTCTAACCACTACACCACGGAGGTCGGTCAAATGTATTAAGAAGCTGGACTTATAAACAATATGCATGTCATAATTGATTTCAGTAGTAGTTCTGTTCATGTAGACTCATGCCAGAAGCATGCTTCAAGATCTCTGCTGAATGTCTTTCTGTGTAAGCTAGAACCAGTAGACACTCACATCTCTGTACTGCCCGAGAGAACGGTATTCCTCACTGGAACTGACGGTGCCAACAGCTGTAGTGGTTGACCTGACATAACACACACAGCATTACAAGATGGTACATGGATGAAACAGATAAAACTAAAACACACATGTTTTTTTAAGTGGAAGGTGTTTCGGACTGATAAGAAACACAAACTACATATGACCCAATATATAATACAAAAACAACTTATACATATAGAGGAATCAAATCCTTTGACAATTTTAAGTTACAGCTGAAAACTCACCTTTTCACCATCTACTATGCCTGAATCCCAATCTGTACACAGACTCACTAGTGTTGACATTTTCCCTCTAATATCCAGGGCCTAGATTTTCGAAGCTCTCTTAGCGCTAAGATAGTCTAAGTTAATGTTAATGTATGGCACTTACGACTATCTTAGCGCTAAGAGAGCTTCGAAAATCTAGGCCCTGTCTTTTATAATGTATTTTATTCTATTCCGTGTCGCGCTTTGAGCATATGTTTTTATGGAATCTAGCTCTATACAAAACTCGAACTAACCTGTAGAGGTTTCAGATTCTTTGAATATATTCCTCCTTGGGGTACTTATAAGCATTTAAATGTCCATTTAAATTCCCTACGACAGTTGTAACAATATTTGAATAAAATATTTACAAAACAAAAACTACGTTTTGTCTTGTGAGACCACCCTCACAGGGCCTTCCGGCCCCCTACAGCCAAGAGCAGGTAACTCTAGACCGTAACCTCGTACCTCACTTTCCATGCTGAACGAAGTCAGACAGAATGCGGGGAGGTGGGCTGGCGTACCCCAAGGAGGAATATATTCAAAGAATCTGAAACCTCTACAGGTTAGTTCGATTCTTTTTTATATATTCCTCCTTGGGGTACTTATAAGCATAAGACAGACTCCTAAAGAGCCGGATCTCAGGGCGGCATTCTGTCTGCTTAAACACCCCGACAAGAAGTGGAATTTCCCAAGCTAATTATAGCAGAAAAGGCACACTTACCCGGTCACGTGTCCACCAAAGCCAATCAGGGCGGGGCATGAGCCAGGGTCAGGGTTAAGCGTATGCAAATTTGTCCAGCGAAACCCTCGCTAATGCAGCGAAGCGAGACACACCCTCCCTCCTTCCGTAAGCTACTTTCGGAAGTGAAGATAAGGGTCCCATAATAAACCCAGAAGCGAAATGCGAATATGAACAGCAAAGTTTCCAAGGGCAGTTTAGTCTAGAGCTTCTCGGTTAGAAAGCAAGAGACATGGGAATAAAAACCATCACCACATAAAACCCATCACCAAGGGAAAATGTAACAAGATTTGTAAAACCCAACACCAGTGTTAAAAATAGGCAGATAATGGTTCACACAATAAAAAACCTCGAAAGCTCAATCGGCTAGAGAGGTGGAACCATGCCCACTGGAGAGAACTGACTGACCGAACCGAGCACGCTCACTGGAGAGTCTGTCAAGTTGGTAATGACGGATGAACGTACTCGGACGGCTCCAAATAGCGGCGAGCAGATCTCCTCAATGGGCAGGGCTGCAGCGTAAGCTGTCGATGTAGCGACTGCCCTAACCGAATGAGCTTTCAACCCAACAGGCGGGATCGCCCTGTTTGAGTATAACTAATATGTATGGCAGAGACAAGCCACCGAAATGGTCTGCTTGGTGGCGGAAGACCAGCCTGAACCCCGCCATAACAACAAAACAATTGGTTACCCTTACGGGTACCCTTGTTCGTTTGATATAAGCCTGAAGTGTCTTCACGGACATCTAAGGCGTGAGCACGCCAGAGAAGGTACCGGACAGGGAAGGCTGAGTGAAAGCTGGGAGCTCAATAGGCGCCCACATGGAAGGGACTATCCTTCTTAGGGACGGTAAGTCTCAGGCAGCCGAATGCTAACTCTGTCTTTGTGAAAAACAGTAAGCGTGATCGGCCGACATTGCATGAATATCGCCAACCCGCCTGCCAGAAGTCACCGCCAGAAAGCGCCGTCTTCCCGTCAACAGCTGGAGGAAAGAGCCGACAGATTGTGAAACAGTGGACCCGGACAGCCAATCAAGAGCGATTGACAAGTCCACGGGGACTAATCCGGCCGGACAACGGACGGATTCTGTCCACGCCTGCTAAAAAGCGCTGTACAAGAGGGTGCTGCCCCAAGAGAGCACCGTCAACAGGAATATGAAACGCAGAAATAGCCGTAGAATATCCCCGAACAGTGGAAGCCGCTAGACCGGCTTCCAACCGAGACTGGAGGAATTCTAACACACAGACTAAATCTGTAGAAAAGGGATCAAGAATCCCCCTGTTGACACACCAGCGCGAATAACAGGCCCATCTATCCTCATATTGAACGTTTGTCGAATCCCTCCGCGAAGCCAGAATTGTGTCTGCAACTGGTGCAGGAATTCCGCTCGCATGGAGGCGATCCCTGATAGCGGCCAAGCCACCCACTGAATCCTGGGATTCGGGTGGGGCGCTCCGTTCTGGGATAGGAGGTCCGGTCGAAAAGGTAATAGAACAGGAGGCTGAGCCAGAAACCTGAGAATTACCGGAAACCAGCTTTGTGCCGACCAAAGGGGTGCCAGAAGCACAAGTAGCCGAGCTGGTTGTGCGGTCAGCTCGCGACAGGACCCTGAAATCAATGGTATCTGGGGAACGCCCACAGTATCCTGTCCGTCAATCTAGCTGAAAGCGTCGTTGGCTAACGCACCGGATCCGAATCCGGGAGCAAAACACAGGAATCTGGTTCGTCACCCCAGGCGCAAAACAGATCCACCTGGAACGACCGAACAACTGGGAGATAATCCCGAATATCTCCCGGTCGAGCATCCACTCGTGTGGGGCTAGTATACGCCGTGAGAGAGCATCTGCACGGACGTTGTCTACCCCCGGGAGATAAACAGGCAAAACCCGAATGTTGAACTGATCGCACCACAGTAGAAACTGCCACGCCTCCTGAAGGAGCGACGGAGACACTGTGCTGCCTTGCTTGAGAATGTAAGACATGGCCGTTTGATTGTCCATTTCTAGACGAACCACACGGCCCTGCACCAACACCCGGAAGCACTCGAACACCTTGCGGACTGCTCTCAGTTCTAACACATTGATGTGTAGGCTGACCTCCCGCTCCGACCAGAGGCCGGAGGCTGAGTGCTCGCCCAGGACCCCCCCCCAACCTGTGAGGGAGGCGTCCGTCTGAACTGAGAGGGAAGGTGTCGGGGTGTCGAGGGGGATCCCCCTGGACAAATTCCCGACGTCCGTCCACCATCGCAAGTGAGGGATTAACCACTCTGGCGTTATGAGCATAATCTCGTAGCCCTGCGAGTGGGACCACAGCTGATGCTTGCTGAATTGGTCGCATCCTCAAAGCAGCGCCGTAAACCACATCCACTGTCGCCGCCATGTTGCCGAGCAACCGAAGCCATGTTGAGGGCCGACGCAACGGGGACTGGAGGAACTGTAACACAGTCCCCCGGACTTTGACGATGCGGTCCGGAGCAAGGGAAACAATCCCTAGCGCCGTGTTGAATCTGGCTCCCAAGAATATCAGATCCTGCGTCGGAACGAGGTCTGATTTCTTGAGATTGATAATCCAGCCCAGTGACACCAGAGTATCCAGCACGCACAGTGTGGAGGCTCTGCTTAACTGAGGCCCTAAGGCCCGTAGAAGCCAATCGTCCAGGTACGGGTGACAACACCTGCCCCGAGACCTGGCTAACTGAGCTGGGATTAGCATAAGTTTGGTGAACACCCTTGGCGCCGTGGAGATGCCGAAGGGGAGCACGCGAAACTGGTAGCACGTCCCGTCGAAGGAGAACCGGAGGTACTTCTTGAATTCGGGGTGCATTGGAACATGGAGGTATGCGTCTTTGAGATCGATTGACGTAAGCCAATCCCCTGTCTCGACGGAGGAGATCACTGACCTGAGTGTCTCCATCCTGAAAGACGGCACCTCCAGTAATTTGTTCAGCCCTCTGAGATTCAGAATGGGTCTGAACCCTCCGTCCTTTTGGTCCGAGGAAGTAGGTGGAATAAAACCCCTCTTCTCGCTGACTCACAGGAACCACCTCGATGGCAGCCTTGGTCAGTAAAGACTGAACCTCGCACGGAGGACTTCCGCCTTGTCGCGGGGGTCGGCACTGGCGTGTGCGAACCCGGAGAAGAGGACGGAGGATCGGCGCCTCCACTGTGGCAAATGGCCATCCCTGAGCGTGGACAGGACCCAGGATTTGAGGTGGCTGCCTCCCACTCCCGGAGGAATAGGGACAGCCGACGCCCGACAGGGACGTTATGTGGCAAGAGGCAGTGCACCCCCACCGCCGGCAAGTCTCCGCTGCGTGAGTGGGGGCAACAAGGGCTCTGGGGAATGAATCAGTCGGAAGCCGGGCTGGCTTCCCCTTGCCCCGAAAAAGACTGCTGCGCTGGAGCAGGCTTGCCCCTGCCCTCGGCGCCTGCTCGGCTTGGACTGCAAAGGGGCAGCCCACTTAACAACATCCTTCGCCGAGGCAGAAGGGTAAGCGGGCTAAGCCGGGAGGGCCGATGCATGCAGGAGCCGGAGGGCTGCTCCAACAAAGGCTTTGAGTCCTTAAAGGTAGAGACAGCCTCGCTGCCTCCCCTTACCACCTGCAAGGCCCCAGGGAACAGGGAAGATCCCATGGTATAGGGCAATGACAGTAGAGCTTGCTGTGTGGCCGGCGAATGCGCGCCACAGACAGCCACAGGCGGCAAAGCCCATGGCGGCACCATCATCTGGCTGGCACAGCACCGAATGCTGTCCCGAGCCAGATGTGAGTGTACGTCCGTTAACTGCCGGGCGAGCACCGACTCCGATGAACCGCACCGCCAGCGCTGTGGGCCACCAGCTGTCCCTGCAACGCCGACAGGTAGGCTGAATGGACTGCTACTTTAAGTTGCTGGGCCGTGCACGGTAACATTCTTGAATGACCGGTAGAGGCAGACTTCAGCGCCGCAGTGGCGTACTAGCCGAAAAAGGGGAGGCCTGCCCTGCCTGGCCGAGGCCAGGGAAGACGAAGACGACCCTCTACGTTGACTGAGGCAAAGACGCACTCGTCCACCACTGGTGGTTCGAAGAGCGTCTCCGCACCTAACTGGTACCGCCGGCCGACTTCAGGCAAATCAAAACGCGAGCGAGTACCAGCCAGGAGCGGATTCACCACATCACTGACCAGTGATGGGAGAATGCGTAAGCGTGCCTCTGCGACCTGGTTAGGTGCGAACGCCTCCCCCAGGAGCGAAACTCCAGCGGGGTCGGGTGCGGGGCGGAACAGCCACCTGCGGCAGGACCGGCGATCTTATCCCGAACCTGCCGCAGGGACGAGAGGCAAAGAGTACGGCACTCCCGCCTCCGATTCCACCGTCCCCTCCTCCTCCTCCATATCGACCTCGGCAGAATCCTCGGCCGCCATAATCTCAGACTCCTGAGAGAGCGCCGAGGAGACGCCAGAGGCAGGACCAGAAAAACTCATAAGGTCAAGAGGAGCCAGGGGAAAAACATCGCCCTGCCGGGAGGAACCCGCGCCAGGTCGCCGAAGTCGCCCGAGAGGAACCTGCGCAACAGGCTTCCGGGCAACCCGACTGGCTGCCGGTCGCCGAGGTATCCCGAACTGGTCGGCGCCAGGCGACCGCCAGTCGGACACCAGGCAATGACAGGGGCAACCCTGTATCGCCCGCACCAGGCACCTGTGACAGACCAGTGCATAAAGCCAGGTCGCCACCAGGCGCCGAGGGCATGCCTTCACCAGGGCGAAGCCAGGATCAAGCCGCCGGGAGGCGTGTTCTCGAGCGGCTTTCGGACGCAGTTAACCCCCAGATGTGTCAGCCCCGCCCCGACGACCGGGCGCTGAGCTCCTTACGGAACCCATGCTTGCCGTATCAATCAGGGACTTGACTGGCGACATCTGCTCCTGGAAAAAGCGGTTAAGCGAATCAACAGGAACACTTTTACCGGTGCTGAATCAAGAGGGGGGTGGCGGGTACAGAGACGCGGAAGCAGTAGGAGATGCAGAAGGGGCATGAGTGCGTGAAGACGAAACGCCTTGGTCGCCTTTAGCGTTTTTGGGAGCCGGCTCAGCGTGGGAAGCGGCTCCGTGGACCCTTTTTTTACTATGGGCGCTTGGGACGGGGATCCTGTGCCCAGAAATCACCCCCGCCGAAGCGGGTTGTTGTAAAAACAGCGTGTCTATCCGCCCTGCGCCCGAATGGTTTGGGGCGAGAGCACACGGCATGCCGCACCCCTCTTCCTCATGTTCCTTCTGCACTAAACAGCGAAGCGAACCTCGTGGGAATCCCGCATGCGGGAATTGCAGCAAGGCACGAAAGTACAGGGTTTAAACTGCAACAAGTAAAAACCTGTGCAGCAATCTACCCTATACCCACATACAAATACATGTAAAAAGGCGATAGGCGACACAGCTAATCGCGATAAGCGTAGCATGCAGTTGACAACCTAGTACACGCCGCGGCAGCATAACTAACAATTACGTTTTTAGCGTAATATAGAAAATGCGCGAGCAGTAGACATACGCCCTACGCGTACAAAGATACAAATAAAACCACTAAAACCACCTGTAACATTGAAAACCAAATGGGAAACCAATGAACAGGAAGGCTAGCGAAGGGACCTGTCCGCCATCTTGACACGCACTAGCGAGCCGACCCAGCGACAGGTACCGAAGTTACAACGAGAAATTATGAATGAAAAAATTCAGAAAAAAAACTCCAATTCGCCCATGCAGGGAAAAAGAGAACCATACATACAGTTGCAGTTTCTGAAACACTCATAACTCTCTTAGTCGCAAGGAAAAACCTTCTGGTATGGACCCACGTCTTGTCGGTACAACGACAGCATGGAAAGTGAGGTACGAGGTTACGGTCTAGAGTTACCTGCTCTTGGCTGTAGGGGGCCGAAGGCCCTGTAAGGGTGGTCTCACAAGACAAAACGTAGTTTTTGTTTTGTAAATATTTTATTCAAATATTGTTACAACTGTCGTAGGGAATTTAAATGGACATTTAAATGCTTATAAGTACCCCAAGGAGGAATATATAAAAAAGAATGCATTATTATTATTATTATTATTATCCTATATTCAGAATTACACTTTCTTAGTGAATTGCAAACTCCAGTACTTAATTGGTTCAGTAAGGTCCAGGGCCTAGATTTTCGAAAGCTCTTTTAGCGCTAAAATAGTCGTAAGTTAATGTTAATGTATGGCAGTTACGACTATCTTAGCACTAAGAGAGCTTCGAAGATCTAGGCCCAGGGTTGGAAACCATAAGAGTGAAGCACATAACTTCCAGCAAACAAAGTCAGCAATCTAACCCACTCAGCCACTGAGGTTTCCAAAAAAATGGAATTCTGACAACAGGAAATCTTGTTACCCCTCTGACAAGTGTAAATTGGCACAATTCCATAACCAAAAGCTATGACAACACAATACCTTTTAGAAAGTAGTCAGAAAATAACATAGGTAATATTTAGGATGACACTTTCTACAATGTAAAACAATAAAAGGTTGGCAGTCATTGAAGGTAACGTGTATACAGGCAGGATGCTTAGAAAGCTTGAATACTGAGATATGTATTGCCTTCAACATGTCAACTTACCTCTGGGTTCTGACCACCACCATCAATGTGCACACGAGGAATCCAATCATCAGGCCTTTGTCGGCATCCAGGATCACGGAGGCACAGAAGGTGAACACCCACACAATCTGAAGCACAAACCACAACTTACAGCGCTGCTAAATCCTCTTGTGAAATAAGAGTGCGCAGGGATATTGAAAAATGTGTGAAAATATTTCATGTCATTATTTATCATGCCACAGCACCGAAAATAGCCTTAATTCAAACACTGGTGTGCTATTTGAATCACCTTTAGTGGACAATTATCTCCCCTTAATGCACTCCAACAACTATACTTTATCAGGAGACACTGCATTTACCTTGAAATTCACCATTGGAAAGTGAAAAATAATGTCAAAACTGTTCACTTGATCATATGTCTATCTACTCCAGTTAGAAATGATCTTCACACATTATAGGGGTGGCATAGTGGTTAGAGTGGTCACTCGTCATGCCAAAGACTTGGGTTCAATTCCCCATGAGTACAATGTGCAACATATATTTCTTTTGTCCCCTGCTATGATATTGCTGTAATTTTGCTAAAAGGACTCACTCACACAAACTACCCATGAGGAGAATTTTACTGAAGCAATTGGATGGGTGAACGTATTAATCAGTAATAACAGAGAATCTGTCAACTATGAAGCTGTCCCACCACACGTCAGCATGAGTGAGTGAGTTTGGTTTAACACCGCTTTAGCAATATTCAAGCAATATCACGGCGGGGGACGCCAGAAATGGGCTTCACACACTGTGCCCATGTGGGGAATCAAACCCGGGCCTTTGGTTCGATGAGCAAATGCTTTAACCACTAGGCTACCGTACCACCCCACATCAGCATGAAGTACAGTGAGTGAGTGAGTGAGTATGGTTTTATGCCGCTTTTTCATGGCGGGGCATGAAGTGCGATATTCCAGCAATATCATGGCGGGGGCATGAAGTACAGACCTCAATGCCATCCAACTTTGAGAGACAGTCAACTCAAACAAAAGAACAAAAGAACTGACAATGAGACATCTAAAAAGTCATCGTCAGACCGACACTATCCACATCATCAGCCAACTCACACAGTCATAGTGGGATTTCCTCCACAGTTCCCTGAGCTGGAACAGCTTCATGAACATCCCTCGCAGGTTGACTATGATGATGGAGGAGAGCACGCACTGAAACAGATGATGTTCATTCGTTTATGTCATCTGGTCTACATTTGTCCTTTATACAAAAAGAATCATGAGATCCTTGACACAGTCTGCAAGGTTTTTGATTCAGATTGGATCTGAATTCATTAACTTCGTAAGTCCATGTGAGTGAGTGAGTGAGTGAGTTAGTTAGTTAGGTTTACGCGGCACTTACGCGGCACTCAGCAATACTCCAGCTATATGGCAGCAGTCTGTAAATATTCGAGTCTGGACCAGACAATCCTTTGATCAACAACATGAGCCTCAATCTGCGCAACTGGGAACTGATGACATGTGTCAACCAAGTCAGCGAGCCTGACCACCCCATCCTGATAGTCGCCTCTTACGACAAGCATGTGTTACTGAAGATCAATATTCTAACCTGGACTATCACGGGTAAGTTATCTATGAATTCGGCTTATCTACGGTAAAATACGGTACTCACCAGTGGGAGTGCATGCAGGTACGGCCCCAGCACCATGATCACCAGTAAAACCACACAACACGCTACAAGGGAAGTTACCTGAAACCATGGCAACAACTTCAATCAGTTCAAACATCATTAAACATTAAGTCAAAATCAACATACCCATTTGATCACAACAACAAACAAAACAACAAAATAATAAATAGAAAAAAAAGCTAGAGTAATTTGAAGTCATTAAGAGCAACAAGCCAGCCATTCTACGTTTCACATATTATACAACGGTCTTCTTCAACTAGCCTACTTCAACATGTCACCTGTCACAGTAGCTAAGCTAGGACTTTGTGATTACAGTACAGTGGAAGCTGTCCAATCCGGCAAGTTGTCAACACCGACATAAAATCTCAGTCCCGTCCGTGGCTAGTACATTTAACATCATTTATAAGCTCTGCAATTCCAGATCTCAGCTGAAATGAGCCGCCCGAATATGTGTTTATACAGTAATCAGCACTGTCTAATCAGGCGTTAAAACTACATGCTTGCCGACAAATATAATTTAATCTTAGTTCAATATTGGTATACATATGTACTTGTACATGTAATTAGTGAGTTGAGAGAGAAATTGAGAGAACCATGTTATACAACAATGTATATGAGAGTGATAAAACTGGTTCAGTTCTAGTTGTAGGTAACCGTGTCATTTCTACAATCCAGTACGCTGTCTAAACCGTATTATTTCTTCAGTCCGGATGTGTGCCGGTTTACACCGCTTCCACTGTATATACAATAGTTTAACATGGTTGAAGTAGTATAAGCAAACATAGTAACCAGAAATATGCAACTACTGTTCAAATCTTACAACCATGATGAGACATCTCTGATGTGCTAAGGAGATGAAAGGTAATTTGCTAGAATGCACAGAAAATCCACAGCATTGACATCTAAAATAAGACAAACAAGTATTGTCACGTGACATAATCCCCCGCTGCAAATTATCAAATCAATCTTAAAAAGTAATGAAAGTGAAGGTTGTAGTTTAAGATGAAGTTAAATGTAAACAAAAGCAACATGATGCTTTGTGTCAAATATGAAGAAAATGCAGTGAATCGTTTGTGAGATTTCTCGCTGACAAGTTGAACATGTACGTTTACAAACTGAAATATTCAATGTGTCGCTGTGAACTTGAAGAATACATGAACGTCACCAAAATCGACTGGGCCCTGCGCCTTCCCTAGGTGAAACTTAATAACATTCCCTCCCTCAAAGAAAGATGGTAAGGATGGGGTTGTTTCTATATTTCTTGGATACAATATTCCCTGCTACAAATTAAAAGCTAATGTTTCCAATATAAAGTTATAATTCGAAAACATACAAATCTGATTCATTCAGAAATAAAACCCTTGAACCCATTATCGTGGTTATGATGTCACACGTCTATGTGAATTGTTATCAAAAAATATGAAAACTGGGAAAAAAGGTCTGCACAAAATAGGACAGCAATATGTTGCGTCAACTCAATATTCTCATTATCAAATGCTCTGATATAATACCTTACAGAGAAACCTTCTTAAAGTTCAGTGAAGGTTAAATGAGGAGATCCCAGAACAGACTTAGGCTGCTCACTCTTACTAAAGGAGGAGTTGGTCAGTGAGTGAATCAGTTTTTATAATAATTTAGCTTCATTCTTCACTACTTCGATTCAGAAATACTGATTTGAATACAGCTCCTTCAAGGAGCACTACATTTTACATTCAGATGCCATGGCAAAACATCTTCCAAGAGGTATGTAAAAGGTGAGATAGAACACCTACAGCAATGAAATGGGACAGGCTTTAATGATTACATCAGGAAGTGTCTGTTAACGTTCATTTTCAGGCAACAGAAATCAGACATGCTTGGTGGAATACTTTGTACACATGCTGAAAATATAGGAGCTTAAACATGGAATGGGTGATTAGATAGTTCACCTGATGCAAAGAAGAGGTGGTCAGACCCTAACACTGAGAGGTATTATATCAGAATAAAAGATCAGGGCCCAGTTCCACGAAGGATCGTAGCGCTACGACAGTTGTAACTCTACATTAAAGTATGGGAGTTACAATCACCCTAGTGGTACGATCGCTTTGGAGAACGCGCTACTGATTTAAATGACATAAGCAAAGCTTTGGTCTTGTGCAGTTGTGCGATAGGTTATTGCAGCGAACTAAAGGAGTGTGTTACACAACAAGCTAGCAGTTATCACACCATGTTACCTGCGTCCTTCCCCCTGCTCCGTCCTGAACCAGACTAAGAGATATCGAGGCTGACACCACGTAGCCTGAAAATATGGCTGATACCACCCCGGCTGTACCTGAGGCAAACATCTCCTGTAACAGCATTGCGGGATAAGTCATATCACCTGAGCTCGTTATCTCACCTGAGTACGTCCACCCGCACCGTCCTGCACCAGGCTGCGAGAAACGGACGCTGCAGTGATGTAGCCAGAAAATAATGCACAAACCACGCTTGCACTTCCTGTTGCAAACATCTCCTGAAAGATCAGTAAATGAATTAGTGGAATGCACAAGCTGCATCATCCTCAGTAGTCCAGGGAATTGTTTCTCTGTTCTTATTTTATCTACCCTGGACCCAACTAGCATCATCCTCAGTAGTCCAGGGAATTGTTTCTCTGTTCTTATTTTATCTACCCTGGACCCAACTAGCATCATCCTCAGTAGTCCAGGGAATTGTTTCTCTGTTCTTATTTTATCTACCCTGGACCCAACTAGCATCATCCTCAGTAGTCCAGGGAATTTTTTCTCTGTTCTTATTTTATCTACCCTGGACCCAACTAGCATCATCCCTCAGTAGTCCAGGGAATTTTTTCTCTGTTCTTATTTTATCTACCCTGGACCCAACTAGCATCATCCTCAGTAGTCCAGGGAATTTTTTCTCTGTTCTTATTTTATCTACCCTGGACCCAACTAGCATCATCCTTGATGTTTTAACTCCTTTCTACATTTATGTGCCATGGACCCAATTAACATCATAGTTTCCTTTAAGGCCAGTCTGAAAATCACAATGCTCAAAATAGCTATCAAATTTAATTACTTTTTTCTTTAACGACACAACTTAATTTGTTGCATATCAACTAAACCTGGAAACAGCTGATAGCATAATGATATCTCTAAGCCCTATATCTTATAAACACTGGAATTTTCTAGAATAGTCATTAACAGATCTATGATTTAATAAAATCTATTTATAAAAAATCTGATTTAAGCCTTTATTGAGCCATCTCATCCAAACTGTCCATACATTTTCACAAAGTATTTACCTGAGAAAGTAAGTATACTTTGATGTGTTGAAGTCGATCAACAGGGAGAGTTCTAAGGATCTACAACTACTTAATTATAAATATGAGCGACGTTTCGGTGTAGCTACTAACACCGTTATCAAGCAAGTGTGTTGAAGACCTCATTTTAAGGAAATTGACATCAATAAATTCACTCTTTTATGTGTATCAATGTAATGATGCTATTAAAAACAAAACTATGTGTTCCCTCTACTATGTTTATAACTACACAATACCTCTCCAGAAATGTGATATTATTAATGCAACACGAAACAGGGTTCAGCAAGGATCAGCTGTCTATTCTCATCAATGTGAATTCCTGAAGCCATGCTAGATGAACCACTCACATCACACAATCACATGGGCTTGAAACACTGTTAAGTGGATCAGCATGGTTGATTTACAGCATTGAGATGACAAACTGTGGCTCGAGATTGGAATTTTATAATCTATACACATACAGACTAACTGATTTGGTCATTAATCGATGCATCATGACGATATTGAGTCGATATCTCAGAATGAAATCTAGTTATCAATGCCATCCATGTCAGGTGTACTACTGCATGATACACCAATGATGATGATGATGATGATGATGATGATGACCTGATTATGACATATTTAATTTTACTGCACCTGAAACAAACATACTGACACATTAAGTAACTACGTGTCATTCCGGCCAAGCCTGATGGCGTGATACACTCTCATCGTGGCCATGACTGGGCCCGATGTAAATATAAGCGGGCATGGAGATGAAAATAGTCTAGCACTATTACCAAGGAAAGATAACTCTGAATTTCCAAACATGGCTCCTTGAATATGATATCCCTTGGGCAAAACAGCAATACATCATTACCTTTGTAAATGTTTGTTTAAAGTTTCTGGTCCTTTAGCTCAAAGTTTATATTTAAATTGTGCTTTGCAAGCGAAGTTTCAAACTTCAACGGTCTTTTCATGCTTGAAATCACGTTTTATCGAAGCGATTTGATTGGTTTTGCCCGCGATTCTTGGCAAAATGGCTGGCGATAGGGGTGCCTAACCACTACCCCACGGAAGAGGCGAACATACTGACAGTGCTAGAAGCTAGAAGCCAATGTACAAAAAGGTGGGGAATAGAACCTAGGTCACCAAGCCACCACTATCACCACTGACCTAACACACCCCCACACACATTATTCATATATTTACAGATTCATTCAAAAATATAATTATCTTTACTGTAAAAATGAAATTAATGACAAATATTGAGCAAGGTGAGCGAGCATGACTTGCATTAAGGTAAAAACATTAAAACAAACAAACAAAACCACTTGGAAAGTGAATAACCTTGACCAATCCTTCAATGTACGGTCATCATGAATACAAATGATCATCAACAGTTAGGTGATTATCAAAGAATTTATGACCAATCCTTTAATTTAAGTTCATCAAGAATCCATATAATCATCAATTGTTAATTGAAGAAAGCATTCTAAATAAAGTCAGTTATTTGTTGATAAAGTATTACAGGCATACCATGTACATGCAATCAAACTGAAACATACTGAAATAAAACAACATAGTGAACAAAACTTGTCAGGTCTCAACACGCAGAAAACAAAACAGTGCAAGGACATGAAGAATTCATATTGACATTTTATGCCATGTTTGGGCCAGGCCAAGTTAGTTACTTTCTTAAAAGATCTGCCAAATATAGAACAAACATTCTGTTGGGGATATAATTGAGATTTGTAGACTATTTGTTTGTTGTTAATCACAACACTGAGCAATATTCCAGCTATATGGCGGCGGTCTGTAAATAATCGAGTCTAGACCAGACAATCCAGTGATCAACAGCATGAGCATCGACCTGCGCAATTGGGAACCGATGACATGTGTCAACCAAGTCGGCGAGCCTGACCACCCGATCCCGTTAGTCGCCTCTTACGACAAGCATGGGTTACTGAAGATCAATATTCTAACCTGGACCTTCGATCTACGCAACATGATTTTCTGAAGACCAATTCTAACCTGATCTTCATACTGACTGTGTCTAGGAACCTTCATTCCAAAGTCAGATTCTACTGCAGTAAACACATCAAATTTCTGTCACTGCAGTAAAATATCACTTTTCCCAAACTCAGAGAGCTCAGTCTCTCAAAATTAAGCATGTAATAAATATGTGACCTTTCAATTCTAATTAAATTGGTCTGGCCATCTTACCATTTCCACTGCTCCAAAGAGATAAATCATAATGACATTCCCATACAACTTCACACAGAAACCATGGAAACTCCCCAAAAGCATGCATCAACCATTGTCAACCAAATAACTAAAAGGTTTAAGAACATAAACAAAGTTTATCAATTAACCATGGATATGAAAAATTCGAAAATTCTCTTTGACAAGAAAACATGATTGCATGCAAATCATAACAAACAGTTCCCATGCATGGAACCTAAACATGGCAGACACATCAAACATTCAAAATTATGTGCCACAACCTCACCAAAATCATTTCTTGTACAACAAATACAATACCTCTCTGCATGATGATCTGAAGACAACTTCAGAGGTCACAACAGGTGAACTTGCTACTCAGCCAATCAGCATTAAGCATTTAAATTCTCGGTATGAGTGAGCAAGGCATTCAGACAAGCATATCTGATTCTTGCAAACAAAGTTAGTGGAGAAGTTACAAATACAAAATCTATAAAGCCGTGCTATAACTTGCTGTTGATATGCAACACATCTTGTAATATTCTAAGGGTGATGACATCTACAACCGAAAGATGTACCAAAGAGTGTATATTTATGTTGAGATGGTTAAGATGGAAATTTCCAAGAAAGACAGAAGAGAAATGAAGCCAGTGGTTTCAGAAAGCTGATATCTGATTGGCTAAAGAAAAAACCATCCTTGTATTTCTATGGAGTTATTGTCAGATCTTCTTGCAGAGAAGCTTCGTATCGGAGTATAAGGTCTGACTTTAATGAGTCACGTGCCTTCCTTCAGCCTCTGAAAAAGCCTGGTGCTAACTAACCTGGTTTGAATCCAACCTTGTAATTGTTCTTCATGCCTAGTGTTTTGGCCATGGATATAGTTTGTGCATAGGCTACAATGATGATGATAAGAGCTTCAAAGAAGTAATCCTTCGCCAGCAATATGTTGGGGACTCGTGGCACTGGAACCCTGAAAGAGGTGAGTGAGTGAGTGAGTGAGATAACATTTTACATCATTACAGTGTTATTTCAGCCATAACATGATGACCCTGAAATGGTTATTTTTTCATACAGTGACTTTGAAAACTCAAAGGATTTCAAGGATAAGGTCACTTAAAACCAAAACTGATTCAGCGTCAAGGTCACTAAAAACAAAATAAGCTCTTGGTTGAAGGCCAACTAAAACCCAAAATGTTTCGGGGTGGAGGTCACTAAAACACAATCGAGGTTCCAGGTGAAGGTCACTAAAGAAAAATAGTTCTAATCTCAAAGAACACATACAGTTTCTGGTGAAGGTTACAAAAAGGGTAAATTCTGGCATGTCCAGAGTGAAGGTAAAAACAGACTGGGGAAATTGAGTCATAAACACACAACAACATTAGACACTGTTACACTGTTATTTCTACCAACATCCGCAAAAAATCTTCACCCCTCCCTCAGGAGAATGTTTATAAGACTGACTGACAGTTTAGTTTTATGAAACTTTTAGCAATGTTCCAGCAAGTTCACAGCAGGGGACACCTGAAATTTGCTTCACACATTGCAGCCATGTGGGGAATCGAACCTGCGTCTTTGGCATGACAAGCAAACGCTTAATCCACAAGGCTACCCCACAGCCCCATGTTTTTAAGAACATCTATCATGTCAATATACAACTAAAGCATGGTAACTCTACATCAATGATTCATTACTTTCAGGGCTCGATTAAAGGAAATTAAACCTACTTACACCCAGAGCAACTATAGGTAATAACCTTGTTGCACCAGAAAAACAGGTTGCACCTGTTGTTCAATATGAAATTACATGCAATGTTTGGGTTGTGGTATTGGTGATTGAAAACATCCTTATAACAAAATTATTCTGGATCTGATAAGATCATTTTAGCTTACTTCATAATGTCATGACATGAACTGTCACAGTAATACAATCACTGCTTGTATAATCGTCAGAGTCACTGCTCCAAGTCAGTTCCTAATCATTCTGTTTTCCATCTGAAGTCAGTGTTCTTTGAACAACAAAATATTTAACATGCTCTGGGTGTAAGTTGTATTAATATGAGGCTGCAATTTGCAGCTTCAGGCTGCATCTGTGCAAGTTCTAAATACTTCGCATTTGAGAATCCAAGGGATTTCTCTGGCAACAGTTCCACCTGGATGAACAGGACTTGACTGTATCAACATGTTGCTGTTGAACACTCACCCCCCCTGGTATCTTCCCCACCACAGGAACATTGTACGTTTCCTGTAGACGCAGGAAATATGAAGCAAGTGTTCCAAGGATTACCTGAAATCAAGGTTACTCAGTTAGTATGTTTGTGGTTTAATACCAGTGACGGATACATTAGGTAGAGTGAGTGGGGTTTTAGCAGCAATAAGCAATATTCCAGCAATATCGCGGCACCAGAAATGGGCTTCACACATTGAACCAATGTGGGGAATTAAACCCGGGTCTTTGGTGTGACGAGCGAATGCTTTGGCCACTGGGCTACCCTACTGTCCTGGATTCACTAGAACCTCGCTAATCTGGAAACATGCGTTTTTTACAAAATTGTCTGGATACACAAATCTCTTGTCAGTTACCTCCCCTATTAGCTAAATTCTACTGAGGTGAAATGAATGAAGATCATTTGAGTATTATACACAGTAAACACATTACATCACATCCATTTAGATTTAGGTAAATGAAGGACTGATAACAAACCAGATCTATACAAACTTTACTTTTGAGATCAAACTTCAAACATGATTATATATTGTATTTCCTGTCATAGTTTTATATGCAAGGAATAAGATGACTGTGTGTATCAAATCTTTGAAGGGCATTTAGATATACACTGTGTGCATTTTGTGATCAGCAATGAAAATAGGAATCAGCTTTACCCACATTTCTGCTCAGTTTCCCTGTGATTCAGTTTAAAAATTCCCAATAACATGACATAGAATTTTTACGGAATGGTCGGAATAATTGTATCAGAAAGCATCATTACAACAGGAATAATATACTGATATTCCAATATTATTATATTAGTTGCAGTATTTACTGTATATATTTGAAATAATAAAGATCGCAATGTAATTATGTAAATGTAAGCATTTATGTAAACAGTACTGAAAGACATTTTCCAAAAAACTTATAATAGATTACAAATAAAAGCCAAGATAAACAATGGACATTTTTTATATCAAGTATATATTATAACCTGATTCAATTAACAACAAGCCTACAATATCCATAACTTTGATATTGGATGTTAGACAATGAACTACAAAACAAACATCATCAAGAGTGGTCGCAGTCCAGTTATTTTGACACAATGCTGTGTATTTTGCATTATTGATCAATTCACTGTCCAGATGAATGGAGCATTTCATGTATGTCGTATTTCCTTTCATGTAAATTTTCTCAGGTAGGCAATGATGTTTATTAATTTAACAATCTCTATGATGTATATCAATAGCCAGCCCTAGTTAAAATACCTTAGAATTTGTAAATATGAATAAAATTTAGCACTCATTTCCATTTGCCTGCCCTGCAATCTCCAGTGTTCACGAATGGTGTTTCAAAGTAACAGGACATTGGGTCCTGTAAGTTTCAGATGTCTGTCTGACCCATTGAAAATTCAAAGGACCCATAGAATAAAATTAAACACACATTTCAGATTTAACATTTCTTATAATTGGCATTGAAATTGTTTATTAACAGCAAACAAGTGTCACATGTCACATATAACCACTTCAGTCAAAGTCCTTGTGAAACATACAGTCAGACACTGGGGCCGGTGGGCTGTAGACTTCTATCAGACAGTTGGCGAATCTGCCGGATTTGTCAGAGGGTCAGACGCTATTCGTGAACACTGAATCTCAGCTGGGAAGTACATGAATAGATAAATCTCTGGCTTGTATCAACATGCATGAAATGATGTGTACAAAAGTGTTGACTTACTACTATCAACTCAATAGGAATGGGGATCTTCATCTTGTCCTTGAAGCGCTCGTTAATCTGCGCCTTGACGAGGTAGATAATTAGCATGCATATCAAACTAATGATCAGTGTAGCAACGTTGGTGGCGGTTATGTGCTTCAAGATGTCAACCCAAGTCTGAAAACAACAAGGTGTCATACAGAAACCAGAAAGGTACATGGTTGAGCTAATCAAGGGAGTTAACTCCAGGCATTAACAGGATAATTAAAGAGATGTTTTTTTTAACTGACAACAATGTGCATAAAAAAACTGTATCAAGTCAAAATGATGCAAGATATAGAAGTTTAAAGACCACTTGACTATCATGTACTTTGTGTACAAAGTTCATTGGCCAAATGGTCAAATGATACACAGTTTTGAAGTCCCACCCAGGATTAGAAGTAAATTTATTCTTTGCTTGCTTGTTTGGTTGGGTTTTTTTCTTCTTTGTTCACTAAGTAATATGCTAGCTATATGGCGACAGTGTGTAAATAATCCAGTCTGGACCAGACAATCCGGTGATGGACAGCATGAGCATCCATCTACGAAATTGGGATACGATGACATGTGTCAACCAAGTCAGCAAGCCTGACAACCTGATCCCGTTAGTTGGGTATATTATGTTATTATCATTAGATGGGTATTTCACAAAGTATGTGATCCATACAATCAGATGCCAGACTTCCATCTAGTGAGAAGCCTCAGCAGGTTCGATTGCTGGCTTTAGGTGCCTTGCCTTGGTTTGATTTGGTTGGTGGGTTTATTATTTAAGAACGTGCTCAGCAATATTCCAGCCAGTATGGTGTTGGTCTGTAAATAACTGAGTCTGGACCAGACAATCCAGTGATCAACAGCATGAGCATCGATCTGCTCATTTGGGACAAGACGACTTTTGTCAACAAAGTCAGTGAGCCTGACCACCCGATCCCATTAGTGGGCTCTTACAACAAGCATGTGTTGTTCAAGACCAAGTCTAAGTTTCTAACCTGAATCTTCACGTGTGTGTGGGTTTGAATCCCATACACTATGAAAGTATCATCCCAAATATATACATGTTACATTGGATCCTTTTCTTAAAGATTAATCCTTCTGTGTTCAGTTTTAAGAAGTATTCTTGAAAGTCAAGAGGAATGTCACATCTATCACCAGGGCTGGATTTAGTGCTTTGTTACTTGCACTGGTGCAACCCAATATTACAAAATGCAACCTATTTATTTGTCTAACTTGCACCAGGTGCAAGTCAATTTTGAGAAATAAATCAACAATAAATCTAACATTATAACCATATTTATGTCAGCTCATTTTTTATCTAAGCTTCGAATAATTCAGTTGCACATTTCTTTCATTACAAATTGCGATAAGAGCAGTGCAACTGGAATTTGGCTGGTGCAACTAGGTTTTTATCTTAGGTTGCACCTGGTGCAAGTTGGTTAATATCTCTTAAATCGAGCCCTGATCACAATTATTCAGGGGTCCGAAGTTTCAGATACTAACAACGGCATACATTCAGGACCCCAGAACCTCAATGATTCCTCACACTGCACATACATGAGATCAGGGCTCCTGATAATTTTTCAACATCAGGAGTACGTACTGCTTATTTTTTCAAAATAGGAGTACTGGAAAACCTTAAGAGTACATTTAGAGTACTGAATGGAATTTAATTGAGTATCAGTAATCTTGTGTTTCGTTTCATATATGCACCACAACATTGCTACTCTTGTGTAAACAAGTCAAAAAACAATAAAGCAATACTTTTTCAGAAAAATATGTCTGTAAATGATTTTAAGACCGTACACCACTGTTGTGGTGCGTATCTGCTACGTTTCCTAAATTATTTCCTACCGTGATCGTGCATAATTTCTAGCGGTATGAGTGAAAAAAAAAGACAAAATGAGCCGGGGGTGTTTGGGGCCGCACGTTTACACGATTCACAAGAATGACCCCAGCGTGATTAAATCCATGGAATTCTGTGGATCCGCAGAAAATTCTCATCCCTGTGATTATTATAGTTATCATCATGCTTATAAAAATGTGCCTATAGAAAATTCATATCAACTCAGTTAGACTATATATACTACCCATCAAAAGTTTAGACTCACCTAAACCACTCACTATATGTTATGTATATATATATGGTTACATCAAAGGTGAATTTCTCCACTAATTTGGGGGAACCAACTGCAAACCTTATGCAGATGAATTGCACGAGGATCATGCATCAAATTGCTGAAAAGCATGTGCAAATATCGTGCATGTGAACAGCTGCGTTTTGGTGTAAAGTTTTGTTAACAATTCGCAAATTTTCACTGAGTTTCATCATTTATTGAACCCATGACAATAATCTTTCAACGTTACGAATTTGTTTTACAATACATCAGTTCATGTGTAAACAATACCTTTAAACAGTATGAAATATTTTGCAAAATCTAGTTTAAAACAGTTGACTGAAGTAAGTGGTTATATTTACACTAGTGAGTCTAAACTTTTGATGGGTAGTTTATTAAAACAAGTCATGATACACATATTAACTTTACATAGACAGTTATTTAAAAAAGTAATAACAGAAAAGCAACACTTACCAGAATAATCTTAAAGGACCCATTATACCTGGTGAGGACAGCATACTGCTTCTGTAGGTCGACGACTGAAGTACTTGTGCAGTTGTTCAGGCTAAGTCCTGTCATGCCTACAAGTGACATATTCGTCAGCGACATGTTTGTCACTGAATAGTTCAAAGGTGACGGTGTAGGAAGGACACTGCCCCTTTGGGCGTATCCGAGTCCGAAAATATTTTTGATTTGGCTGGTACAGACGTGGATGGACACGCCGACTGTGAAGCCTGTGATGAGAGCGTTGGACATGAAGTTTATGACAAACCCCAGCCCCAGCTTGCCGGCAAGCATCTGAAAAATAAAAACGTTGAAAATATATTATTACATACTATTTAATACTTATCCTGACTCATACTTATAGCTTATCTCTTCATTCTTCGGAAAGGTAGTGGAAACTGCCTGTGCTGTGTTCTCCAAGAACAGAGAAACATCTCACATGAACGCACCCTTACCTCATGATAGAACACCAGAACCACAAGAACAAGCTCGTTTGGTGTCAATTTCACAACATATTTATGTTTCCCACTCCACGGGATTCTGGGTAACAATATAGGTCCCAACAACCTGTGTTTGTCGCCAGAGGACAGCATCATATCAACAAAAATGATCAAAATCTGTGCAATAATAAACACCAAATTAATGCATCATTTTGAAGAATGTGTAAAAATAATCAGCTTAAAAGCAGTACCGTAACCAATCCAGTTGCCAGGGTAACAGCTCCTGCGACCTCGATTCTCTTTGCCATGTCCGTGTCCGAGAACTCCTGTGTCTGCGGACAATGCGTTACAGGATCGACGCCAAGAGATGCTATAGGATTGGAAGCTTCTACAGATGCATCATATTTCTCAAGTATCGACGCCATCATCAGACTCAGAACGGCAATACATCCTGTAAAGAATATGTGTGAAGGAGTATATTTATGGGAAGTCACCAGAAATAGGCTTCACACAAGTGGGGAATTGAACCTGGTCTGGGCTCGAAAATTCAAAAATCTGCACGCCCTATAGGGTGAGTAATATGAACTTCCACTCGTCCTTCTAAAATTGTACTTGGCCTATAGATTATGCATCACAATGAATATAAATATAAATTATTTTATTTCAAAATGTTTGCTAGGAATAAAACTACAATAAACATTACTTACTTTGTCTTCTGTACAAATCTTTGACAAAATTGAATTCGTTCACCATTTAAGATAGTTGAACTTCCAGGAAAAAGAAAAATGTTACTTTTGGGTCAGAAAACATACTCGTCCTCTAGGACGAGCAAATTATGTTTTTCACTTGCCCGAAACAAATTTTACTCGTCAATACGAGCGGACGAGTGGAATTTTCGAACCCTGCTGGTTCTTCGAAGTGATGAATGAATGCTTAACCACAAGGCTACCATACCTTTAGACTAAGTCCCTGAATCATACATGCATCCCCTGCATCTCCTTATCTTAAACCTACACTAAGTCATACACACCCTCTCTATCCCTATATATTAAACCTACGCTAAACACACCTTCAAAATCTCTGTATCTAAAACCTAAACTAAACCCTGGAACAATTCCTGTGTTTCTAGCGATCACAAATTACGCACCCTTGATTGCTATTAACTTTTCACTGACCAATGAAATGTTTGACCCACAAGAGTGAGTGAGTATGGTTTTACACTGCTTTTAGCAATATCATGGTGTACCCATGTAGGGAATCGAACCAGGGTCTTCAGCATGACGAGCAAATGCTTTCACCACTGGGCTACCCCTGCAACATACAGTTCCAAGCACCTTTGCTTTCCTTGGGCACCCAAATTAAGTGACTTAAATAAATACCCGAATATGTATTATTTATACGCAGAAAATGTGCTGTATATTAGAGTGTATTTTAGTATTAATTTAACAACTGCAAAGATATCAATAAATCAATTAAAAAAGATATGTTTTTTTTATTACAAGCATTGATATAGATATTCGACCTAATACTGCACATTAACCATGATAATTGGGCCGATCGATTGCTTGTATAAAATTATGAGTTTCTGCGTTGTCTTTGTGGACATTTCTCTGGCAATGAACATAGCATCATTATGATCAACGCAAATTTGTAGTCAGAGCTACAGATAACTTTTTGGGTTATTGAGTAATGTACTCACTTGTGTTCATCTCAATTGGGTATCCTTGTTGTCCTTTGAGTAACCAAATAAATTGTACCATCCTCACTCAAACTCAATTGGGTATTTTGCCATTTTCCATTAATGGTAAAAATATATTTAAATTTAAATATTTGTTTACATGTTTGTTATATATATATATGATCTGTAATATGAGAAACGATAAGAAAGACTACAAGTTGCCAAGTTCATGTGATGAAATAGAACCTCTCAATATTCCTCAGTTATTTTATCTATCTACCGGTACCCAAGCTAAGATTTGACATTTGTGTGTGTACGCATGTAAGATCAAATTAATTGAGCATTTACAAAAAAATACAAGAGTACTTGTACACAATAGACTTAACAGGAATTGAGTATTCACATAAATATTTGCATAATTTACGCAGATACGCAGCTTATCTGTACCTCTGTTTGTAGTAATACTGAACCATTAGTATAACTTCAATGAAACATCCATATCATGACAAATGATAACATCCCTATTGTATGAACGTGTGTTGAATATATAATTATATATAATGTAATATTTCTGTGTACAAGGACTGTTGTTATTCTCTCATGTATTAAATGAATCGAAGCATATCCCTAGATGAATTTGTTATTCGTGATCACTAGAATTGCATATTCATGATGAAAAGGTGTTTTAACTTGAATTCAAGTGTTATTTATCAAAACAAGATGCAGTAAATGGAATATATCCAAGCCAAGCAGGTAATATTCAACACTTTTAAACCAACCAACCATACAATAACAACTGTTATGATGAAGGCTGGAAACCTTAGAAGAGTTGCAAATGTATGGCAATGTCCTTAAAAGGTAATTCCGTTTAAACCAAGTGAAATGGTTTTTTTGTGTATCAACTCATCATTTGATATTAGGAATTGGTACATAATTTTAAAAAAAAAATTATTTATAAATATTGTTTTAAAAATAAACCCTTGCCCTAGGTTTTACACACACAAATCATTGTTCACTGGATGTTTTGTAAAAATGGTTATGTGAGTCTGTTCAGAGAAATGATTGTCCCATTTTGCAAGCTTGAAAACAACACCAAATTCCACAAAAGCATTCAATTAACAGAGACTTAGCAGGTACACATGTATTAGTATCAATCAGATGGATGTCAACAGCTGGAGGCATGACTGACAGCACCTGTTCATTTCACAGGGGCCATCTCAAATGTTTTAGTGACTTAAATCAGAGCTTTCCTCCCTGATCTCAAGCCAATTCTGGCCAACTGGACCTTATGTCCACCATGTTTGATGGACATAAGACATGTATCACGACTACTTCCAAAACTGTAAAGATTTAGTTTAATTACATTAACAGAGTGTCCTTTGAAATGTCCCATTTTTCTGTTGGCTGCATTGATCTGGGTGATATAAGCAATGTGCTTATAGGTTAATGTAGTCGTGTCTTGTGGCAAGACAGGACTTGGCAAAATGTGACATGTTTACGAATTAGCTAATATCACGAAAACCCAAGAAAAAACATCAAATTAAGTTTTGACTGTCTGATCACGCACACTGAACACATCAAATACCTGATCATCAGTTCAACCAAATTCAATCAATTCTCTCTACATAGTGAAAAACATTTACTTTCTATTTCCAATCATATGTAGGTCCCCTGAAAGGCCAATAGCCAGCTCCAGATCAAGATCAAATCTACAGTAGATATTGCAAAAGTTCTAAAATCCCTTCTCAGAAACATCCAAATTCCAAAACAAATAAAGAAAAAAATGCTTCAGTGTTAAATTTTACGAGAATTAATGCATCTCCAAATTACAAAAATATACCAATAATAATCTTTTCATTTTGGACATAATCAGGACAATCGACTGACCGAGTATGGTTGTTGCCGATCCTAGTAATATTCCAGCAATATAACAATGGGGGACACCAGAAATGGACTTCAGATATCATGACAATCAAACTTTTTTCCAAACTAAAATTACCATCCCATATTTCACTTAATAAAGTCAAGCTCAGCCGGTTGAAACGTCCAAGGAAATAGCAGAAATTTTATCCAAGATCATCCAATAACACATAATCAAAGGTATAAAAAAAACACCCAGATTTCCAACAATGCCAACAATAAATTGTGATATCATTCTCGTGGGTGGGGTTTTCACTGAAAACATGTACGCAAGACGGCCTTACCCATAGACACCTGTCTGCCTGTCCCCACAAAGAAGTAGGTGAGGGGAGCGAACAGGGAGATGTAGAGGCCCACCACCGGGGTCAGCGTCGACAGCTTACCAAACGCCATTCCTGGAAGGTGAACAAACGGATCAGAATAATATATAAATTGAATAAACATGAAATACAATGCACACAAGGTTGTCGTGAACATTTGAACTTTTACTAGTTTGAGTGAGTGAGTGAGTGAGTATGGTGATACGCCGCTTTCAGCAATATTCCAGCAATATCACGGTAAGGGGACACCAGAAATGGGCTTCACACATTGTACCCATGTGGGGAATTGAATCCAGGTTTCAACGTGATGAGCGGACGCCTTAACCATTAGGCTACCCCACTTTCCTATTTGAACTTTTAGAAACATAGGAGAGCACACATCCCATAGCAACCAGAATAAAAGAACAAAAGATCTCTGTTGAAAAATCTGACATGAAATCTGCTAGGAGTGACTATTGAGGAGGAAACAACTATTGCAATACCAATATTGCAACCAAATATTGCAAATCAACGCAATAGTTTTTTCTTCTTGAATTGTCTCATTGGAATTCATTTCCCAAATGAATGTATAGTTTATATAGAATAAAAACAATTTGAAGTAGTTTCAGTCTCTGTTAATAACTGACAAGAAACTTGAAACCCAGATCAATTTTGTTTAAGAGGTAACAGGGGCAGATAACTCTAAATCAAAGTGACCGAATCTGGTACTTCCTGTATTTGGCACTGTGCATTTATCAACAGTTCTGTTCTAAGTTCTAAGTCAATTACTAAACTATCGATAGTCACACATACAGTTTTTCATTTCTACCATCAATTAATTGCTATCAGAGACTTAACAATTGCAATCCATCGATAGTTCGATGCACTGTTACAGCCCTAAAATCTGCCCTTTCCAAACACCTCATCAAAATCCAAAGAAAGATGCCAGCCATTAACAAAGACCAAGACATCTAGCTTCGCAGTTAGTACTCCATTGTGCATCCTCCATAATCTCCAAGGTATACGTTATGATAAATCACCACTAAACCCTGGATGCATCTACAGCTGGGCCCGATGATTTTATTACCTCCCTTGGCTGGATCATTATCCAATCAGGTGTCTACGCTGGGAAGTTGAGCTTCCAATCACAACTCACTTTCACTTCTTAAATTATCTAACCGATTAAACTTGGCAACACAATTGATGTAGAGGTACTCTGAAAGAGGTAGAAGGAGTTCTTGCATATATTTTTTTAAAGTTTCAGATCTGTCAATTTGTCACTGTCAGTATGATTTCCCCAAATATCTGAGTTGCACTGAGAACAAACCTTATGTGGCTGCGACCGCTATCTTTGTTGACACTGGCAAGCTCGGTTGTAACGGTGGCTTAGGTGATGCGAAAATGCGGAGCCAGCAAAGGGAGGTAATAAAATTATTGGGCCTAGCCATAGATGCACCCAGGGTACTTGTGCAGATTCATCGGAACATATACCCAGGAGATTACCGACGATGTCCATTGTGCTATATTATACTCATTGTTTTCGTCTTACAGTGTTATCTGTTGTACATTAACCCATTGACTTCATCTTTACATTTCAATCTTTGTACATTATTCCTCCGTTAATCCAAGCTTTGTGATAATATTGTTATCTTTGACAAATTGTACATTAACCTCCCTATCCTACTCCCCACCTCCTTAGCTTTGTCAGTATATTGTTATCTTTACACATTTTCCCACCTTGCCTTGTGTAAACATGTCCTATCTATATCATGTATACTGGACAAAAATAGTAAATTTTGAAATTATGAATATTGATCTATTTATTCATTGACACACTGATAAAATATTAATCATAAAAATACCAATATCCCTAACTTATTTTGTCCAGTATATATAAATTAACACTGTAGACTGACTCATTCATGTTCAAAATAAGTATTATGTCAGAAAGTGTACGTTAATCTCAAAATCTTCAGCAGCTCCATTCACCTGTTGAAGGATCAAGAATTACCGTATATTACAGTAGATAAGCCGACCCCATAGATAAGCCGAACCATAGATAGCTCTGAAATGTCGTGATAAAGAATAAAAGAATTTGTAATCCATCAAATGTGTCATGCATTAATATTTTGTGTAAAGCAGTAATCAGGCTGCAGTACCCTAGAGAGGTCCTGGGGCATTACAGCATATTATGTATTGTTGACTGACTGACTGAGTTTTGGTTTTACGCCGCTTTTAGCAATATTCCAGCAACATCACGGCAGGGGACACCAGAAATGGGCTTCACACATTGTGCCCATGTGGGGATTCGAACCCAGGTCTTCGGCATGACGAGCCAACGCTTTAACCATTAGGCTACCCCACCGCCCCATGTATTGTTGATGAGTAAATGAGCAGGACAGAGCAATGTGATCCTAGTTTCGCACAAAGAATAGCAATAAAGTGTTCAGTGAAATACAAAAGCAAGTGTATGAAAAAAAAATTCCCCAATGTCACAGGCTCTGATGTAACATGATTGTTTTAACAAATACAACAAATTATGATGATGATTATCATGTATAACAGTAATGGTGCCCACCTCTACCTTAAACGAGGACTGGCTTTTGATATGAATCATGGAGATCGATAATCGTTAACCAAATAACTTATCGATTATGGATCAATACCAGTGAAGTATCTTTGAAAAAATATGAAAAATGTCCCCCCCTACTAAATTAATCAACTTATTTCATGTCAATGGTGAGAGGTGACGCATTTATGCATTATGACATAATAACTGCATGTCTGTTTGGTGTGAGGTTGAAAAGCCAAAAGTCATGCAAAACATCGGAAATAGCTCAAATGTTATCCCAGTTTATCAAATAACACATAACCAAAATTTTGCAAAACCATTTTCGCTGAACAAAATTTTATAAACCTAAAATTACCTTTTTTGACCCGTGAAGGTCCGGGTTAGAATGAACAGTAAAAAAGTAACTAACAGGATCGGTGGGCTATGCTTTTCTGACAAACTATGGGTTCCAAATAAAGATCGAACTCAATTGTTTCACTGGATTTCTTATCTTACATTTAAATGACCCGTGAAGGTGAGTGGTTAGAATGAACCTTCAGTAACCCATGCTTGCATGGAAATGATTTAAATTATTTCGCTCATATGACGACGTGCATGCGTGTGTGTGTGTGTATGTGCGGCTGCCGGTACTAGCCCAGACTAAGCTGGTTTTATAGTGCTAGCCCACTGAGATACCACGCCGCAGTGAAGCATGAATACCTCACTCAGACACATTATACTGACTCCGAGCTGACCAGCCCTTGATGTACCCATTAATGCCGAGAGCCAGGCAGGGACCAACAAGTACCATATTTTAACGTCTTTTGGTATGACGCGGTCGGGGATCGAACCTGCGACCTTCCGCTCTCCGGGCGGACGCTCTAACCACTACACCATGGAGGCAGTCTTTCGCACAAAGAATAGCAATAAAGTGTTCAGTGAAATACAAAAGCAAGTGTATGAAAATATAATTCCCCAATGCCGCTCTAACCACTACACCACGGAGGCGGTCCTATCAACATGAAGAACAAATATCGAGGGCTGAGCTATTCAGCCTCTTAATGATCATGACAAACATGAATCTCATGATGGTAATGTTTTATGTCAAACCACCAACACCACAACAAAGAAAATAGTAGCCAAGTATTCCTATATGCTCTGAAACATGATACATGATGCTTATGAATTCACACTCGACTCAGATTTCAAACAAGATTATATTTTTATTTTACAATCGTATCACTGAATATACAATATACTGTGAATGCACACATGAATATTTACATAGTATGCATAACCGACTGTAAAGTGTCAACATGCTCCAGGCTCGGTCAGTGCACACACACAAACAAGCTCTCATCCAGTGACAACAATATTACCGACGATTCGACTTGCGTTAGGAATGTCTGACTCATTACACAATCTACACATAGCACTCATAACAATCATATTGTACATTCTGTATTGTGGGTAGTGTTAAAAACAAAATGAGGGTATTAGGATCCCCGAGATATTCTATTTCAGTCAAGGAACCACTACATTTTCAGTTATGTCAAGACAAACTAGATTTTGAATTTGTTTAGATTTGGTTTTTTTTGTTTAATGATTAGTCATATTCCAGCTGTACGGCATTGGTCTGTAAATAATCGAGTCTGCACCAGATAATTCATTGCTCATTGATTTGATCGTGAGCATTGTTCTACGCAGTTGGGATATGATGATATGTGTCTACCAAGTCAGCTGGCCTGACCTCCCGATCCCGTTAGTCTTGCCACAAGCATTGGTTAAATTAGTCCGCTTGATAATTCATTGCTCATTGATTTGATCGCGTGAGCATTGTTCTACGCAGTTGGGATAAGCATGTTAGTCTTGCCACAAGCATGGGTCTAAGCTGGATCTTCACAGCTAAAATTGGGATGTAAGCATGATATGGCCATACTTTTCTCGGCTTACATATCAGAAAACAATTGTGGTTGGTTGGTGGAATAATAAAAACTATCACATTTCTGAATTTATTTTTTTTCAATTTTAACTGCATGTTTTGCCATGTCTGCAGGCGCCAGTGTTACAGTAAGCTTGTTTCATTGATCTTTCACATTATCTGATTATGCGGGAAACATGCACAGAATGAATGAATGAATATTGCTTTATGCTGCATCAGCACTTTACATGCACAGAAAAGACAGAATGGAGAGAGAATGTGTATGCCTGTATACTTGTATGTAGGTGCATGAACGTATTCGTTTGTATTGAGTTAACATGATTAATGATACCAAACTGATTTCATTGATTCCTTATGTTGTCCAGATAGTTTCTATACATTTTACCTATTATTGTATATCTGTTTTTGTACCAGGAAGAATGTAATCAGCACAAAACTCTGTCCTCGATTTAAGGAAATGATTATTGAAACCTACTTGCACCAGAAAAAACAGCTTGTACCTGCTGCTTAACATAAAATTACATAATATATAATGCTTGAGTTTGGTATTGCTGATTTAGAACATCATCATAACAAAATTACTCTAAGTCTTTTTTAAATAGATCATTTTACTGTACTTCATAAATTTTCGTGATATGAACAGTAACAGACATTCAATCACTGTCTGTAAAGTCATCAGAGTCAGTGCCTCATTATCCTGTTTTTCAGCTGAAGTCTGTGTTCTTTGACCAGTAAAATATCAACATGCACTGGGGCAAGTTGGTATGAATATGAGGTTGCAATTTGCAGTCTCAGGTTGTACCAAAGCAAAATATAAATGCTTAAGGGACCGTTCATAATTTATGGCTAGGGGGGTGATGATGATTTTAAGGGGGGTCACCCATTTTGTTCTTCTAGGGGTCATAAATTTTTACATACAAACTAGGGGTCATCAATTTTTTCATAAAAATATGGGGCTTAGAAATTATGGGTAGGGGGGGGTCATTGATTTTAAACAAGACATGCAGGGGGGGTCACTTATTTTGTACATAAATTTTAGGGGTAGTCATTTACATTGTACATGCTTCTCCATAAAAATCATCATCACACCCCCTGGCCATAAATTATGAACGGTCCCTAAGTTAAGCCCTGGTATGTGTGGATAGAATATCCAACTAAAATATACACCTTTTATTTTGTAACACGCATCTGCCATGTTTATAACCATTATTTACCTAATGCTCACTTCACTGACCACAATCAAGTCAACACCACTGACAACATCAACTAGGCTTATTGTAAACATGGCACCATCCAACCAGTTGTGTCTAACATCCGCAATGTTATGGGTATCCAGAGTGCAACCTGATTTCCAGGATATCAGAGGCACTTTTATATGCCATCACTCAACAGGCTAATTAAGCTGTCTGTTTCCAATTGATATGTGAGTGAGTATGGTTTTACACTGCTTTTAGCATTATTCCAGCAATATCACGGCAGGGGACATCTGAAATGGACTTCACACATTGTACCCATGTGGGGAATTGAACCTGGTGCTACCCAACCACCCCATGGATGTTGTATTTTATCATTTTACGAAGTGACGCACAATTTCAAAATGTGCAATTAATTCATCAATCCAGATTATATATAAGATGTCGCACTAAATGCATGGGAGTGGCATTCTTTACCTGAAGCATATCTTAAGATTTTAAGAAATACAGTGTGGACTGTCGAACTCACATTGCCACCTTAATGCTGAACTGGGCTAATAAGTTGCTCTAATTCACCAACACTCTAACCTGGGTGTTGACAGCACAAATAATTTGTGCTCGTTTACCAAGTCATGAACACCCAACTGTTCACCTTTATTTGCATGCACTGTGAGTGGATTCTCCACACAACATGAAGCATGATAAGAAATGTACTGAGTTTCCCCCAAAAAAATTGGATTAATTTGTTAACATGGTTAAACAAGAAATAGGAAGTGGGGCCCAACACCAAGGATCATGAAAGGGTGTTTGATTGGAAAGGGGCAAAAAACATAACTCACTATTACCAAGCAAATTTGAAACTGAAGTCTGATTGGCCTAGGGTACGTGATCCAAACCCACAATGTATTCCTCAAACATAGCCACCCCGAAAAATGGCTTCAAGTGGCTTGACCTGGTGCCACTTTTGATGTGCAGTTGGCATGGATGGGAAGCCAAATTACTTTACTTCAATAAAATTGTTCATCAACAGAAAAAAGTACAACATTACATTAACAACATTAACAAAAATTACTGTGTGTTGAGTGAGTGACTGTAGTTTTACGTTGCTTTAGCAATATTTCAGCAATATCATGATAGGGGACACCAGAAATGGGCTTCACACATTGTACCCATGTGAGGAATCGAACCCGAGTTTTCGGTGTGACGAGCGAATGCTTTAACCACTAGGCTACCCCACTGTCCCCTAAAATTACTGAACAACATTACGAAATATTGATTAGCTATCAGGCTGGAACCATAGCCGACCTTTTTTTCATAGTTCTGATAGATTTATTCCAATGAAAGTGCTCAAGACAGAGTTTATATGATATCATATTAATGAGATTTTCATGGCTGTTCCAGGAATATCGATATAGTGGGAATCAATTCTTGGTCTTTTTCTGAGAAGCACATTGTTTACCCACTTGGTTGCCCATCATCATTTATCCAATTTAAGGACATCTTGAGGCCATTGCTCCTGTATGCCGTAAAATTATATTTGGAGTATAACTTTATAAGGACCCCCCTAAAGCTTTAAAATTTAGCATTAGGGCAATGGCAGCGAACTCTTGACTTTCGTTTTTATTTTGAACACTGTATCTTATTAAGCATGTACACACAAATTAATCAATTTGATCATAACTCACCCTGTGGGATCATCATGATTCCTACTGTTATGCCAGCAACAAAGTCACTCGGTAGATCCTGTTTCAACTTGTAGTTTTTAAACATCTTGATAAAAGGTAGATTTCTTGAAACAGATTTCTTAAAACTCCTGCTGGTACATTTCTTGGCAGTCCAGTTCTTTAACCTTTCTCGTACTGTCGGAGTCTCAGGTGTATTCCGAAAGGCCTCTTCAAAATCCACAACTTTGACAAACTTGCGATCATTTCCATCCTCGTCTGTATTCCAGGACTGAAGCGCAGTCCCTTCATCCCCATTCCCTGATTCCACAGTCATTGTCGAGGTAATATTTACACTGAACCTTTGGCAAATCAAGTTCTTTCACTGCAGGCACTGAAACATAACATGTCATTGATCAGCTGTCATTTCTGATTTTTTTCTGGTGTGTCAGATATCCTGAATATATTCATATCTCACGAACAAAAAGATGAAACTGAAATGCTATATTCAAAGAAATAAATCACCATATTTCGCGGATCAATTGACTGAACATAAACAGGAATTCATTGGCAGGTACACATTCAACAACCGTGTAACAGGTGCGCTTTCAGAATGCAGATTACCACGTGTACGTGTATTCATACGCACGGTGCTTCTTCACAGAAGTGTAAATAATGGCCTCAGTCGAGATCTGTGACTAAAGTGAATCATGTTATGGAGTCACGGCATAACGTGTGATACCTCCCCTCGAATTATGTCATATGTGTACTGAAAAGACATCAGTTTCTAATCCTTGTCAGATCATTACAAATTTAGACCATGAACGATACAATATGATATTACCGATTGATGTTGACGTCACATTATCTGTGCACCTCTGAAAGCTCTGGAAAATCTGTGAAACATTTTCAGGAGCAGCCGACAGGTCTATACAACACAGCTGATCTATAACAAGCACTTTTTCAAGGCGAGTGTTAGCCCTTGCAGCCAGAATAAGGGATTCACTTCCTGTCCACGTGAGGGAATTCCGTTTGTAAATAGCCCTGACAGCTCTATCTAAACTCTCATTGGATATGCTATATGACCTTTATAACGGACCAATCAAAACACCGTTTACTAGATCCATGATTTTTCTCGTTCATATCAGCTCGTGAGAGTCCGGTACGTGAAAAGCCATTCGTCACCACTCGCCTCTTTCAGTAACCTGCATGTCCCGGAGTGACACGAGTTGTTTCCCTTATGCTATCGTCCGTATTTCGCCAAACCATGAGTTGGTAACGAATGTGTCATGCTGGTTTGAAAAAACGAGTGTCACATTTGTTGAACAAACAAAATAAGTGAGCGAGTGTGATGTACAAACAATGTAGTGTATGCTATTCTGAAGCGTTTACGAAGTAAAAAAATCAACTTTAAAGTGTACCCATTTTTATACAATCAGTGGGATATCTAGATTTTTGTTGCTATTTCATTTTTAAAAGCCGGTATGATGTAATATTATTTAGTTATTAATAATGAAGTATACGATTTTAAGGACAACAACTTCTCTTTTATTGCATAGAGACAAATGCTTGTTCAATGCATAGAGCTAACTTGTTGCTTATTGTAAAGAGTTACTTGCATGTTATCCATAAAAATAGGGTTGTTTTCCATTATTAGCTTGGGGCGGTGGGGTAGCCTGGTGGTTAAAGCGTTTGCTCGTCACGCCGAAGACCCGGGTTCGATTGTTCAACACAGGTACAACTTGTGAATCCCATTTTTTGTGTCCCCCGCCATGATATTACTAAAAGCGGCGTAACCCCCAAATCGCTCACTCACTCCTGTGGGTCTACATTTCATTGATCAGTGAAAAGTTACTGAACATCTTCTAGAATGCCGATCAAACGATTATTTGGCAATTGTCAGATATTCTGCACTGCGACTGAAGGGAAATTAAAAATAAACTTAGGCCAAAGGTTCGTTTCGTAAGCGATATGTTTACACTCCTGGACGTTTCAGGAATCAGCTGACAGTAGAGGCTCGCAAATACCCACATTTGTACAAAAGTGACCCACTCGAGCATGTTATTCCGGGATGAACCGAATAGGAAGTTACGGAAAAGGGCGAGTGGTGACGAATGGTGTATGTTGCGACTGAGTATGGTTTTACGCCGCAATATTCCAGCAATGACATACCAAATCACATTGTAACAGTGAAAATCTGGGTTAGAAGTGGTCTTCAGTAACCCATTCTTGCCGTCGTAAAAGGCGACTAACGGGATCGGGTGGTCAGGCTCGCTGAATTGATTGACACGTCATCGTATCCAAACTGCATTGAGCGATGCTCATACTATTGACCACTGGAAAGCCTGGTCCAGGTTCGATAATTTACAGACCGCCGCCATGGCTGGATTATTGCTGAGTGCGGCGTAAAACAACGATCAATCAACCGACCCATATATTGGTAATCGGTCTTCAAGTGTGAACTCGAGACGATCAGGGTTAGAATGAGTCTTGGGTTACCCGTGCTTGTTGTAAGAGAAGAGTAACAGGATCGGGTGGTCCGGCTCGCTGACTTGGTTGACACATGTCATCGTATCCCAATGTCGTAGACTGATGCTCATGATGTCAATCACTGGATTGTCTGGTCCAGACTCGATTATTTACATATGCGCTGTCATATAGGTGGAATATTGCGGATTGATTAATCAAAGAAGGTGAGGTGAGGTGAAATTGGGTTTAACGTGGTACTTGAGAATATTTCGCTCATATGACGACGTGCATGCATGAATACCCCACTCGGACACATTATACTGACTCCGAGCCGACCAGTCCTTGTTGTACCCATTAATGCCGAGCGCCAGGCAGGGACCAACAAGTGCCATATTTTAACGTCTTTTGGTATGACGCGGTCGGGGATCGAACCCGCGACCTTCCGCTCTCCGGGCGGACGCTCTAACCACTACACCACGGAGGATTAATCAAAGAAATTACGAGCTGATGCTCAAATAGCCATGTGTGTATTAGTGTATGTATGTCTGTATATACATGCTTGTAATATGAAGGCGATCTGTAGCTAAGAATCTGGATCCAAAAATCAAGTGATTGCTAATGTGAGCAACGACCCATGATGTCTGCGTGCTAGGACACATAATCAACCTCCTAACTGCGTAGATCGATGCTCATGCTGTTGATCACTGGATTGTCTGGTCCAGACTCAATCGTTTACAGACCGCCGCCATATAGCTGGAATAGTGCTGAGTGCGGCGTAAAACAACAACCAAACCAAACCATTCTTATTACCCAGGCAAGGTTGTTATTGTTGCACAATTTTAAAAGTTATTTTCAACAATAAGCTCTGCTTATCTTAATTACAGTGAGAGTACTTTTCCTTCACACAGGTCACATAATTTCCTTCTATACCAAGGGCCATGCATGCATGCCGTGTTTTGTATATTGTACAGTTCCAGTATGAGAATTCGGCCACCGACTTTCCACTCATATAGGTGGACAGGAGCCCAGCCTTGCCATCCATAAGTACTGATAAATGACAAGAGTCACATCCTCAGTCACACACATGAGCACAATTTATATATCAACATGAACACAAAATACATCAATAAAATCATTTATTTCTAGTTCCGATACATTTTGCCCACAGATTTCGGGTACTCCTGAGTAATAACAAGACACCAGTTTATCCCCATTCGTCACCATTCGCACCTTTCCGTAAGCCACGGAATGACACGAATGGTTACGGATGTAGTTCAACAACTGAACACCGGTCTGTCACAGAAAGATGCTCGCGGTGCATTCTGCAAATGTAGAGGTGTAACGCATTGTCTATACACGATAAGGATGATGATTACATTTTTTAATGATTGTGACATAATCACCATAATATTTTCACTAGAATTGTTTCCATAGATACACTTTCGAGTTTAGATGTCATTTATGGAAAATATTTGTACACAAACGTATTTACAAGTAATTTGATGAAGTATATACACATGAAAGACCATGACATCAACACTGATATGAATTTATTTACATAGGAATATTCTACTCCCTCGCATACTTTCTAAGCAAAATAAGTACTACGTCTTACTACGATCTACTAATAACTGCCCATAAAGTTGATACAACTATATGTTGAACATTCGTCACCACTCGCGTATTTCCGTAAGGTTTTGTCACGGAATGACACGAGTTGGTCACGTGAATATGTTCAGGACGAGGCTATAGTCACGTGGTATATGATACAAACCAGTGACAACACAGATGCTAATTTTAACGCTAATGTGACAAAGACATCCACAAAGAAGGAACTGTTTTAAATCCAAAAAACATGCGCTGACAACCTTTTAGTGTTTCAGTGGATGTCATTTTTATGCGAGTTGGTGTATAACCTTAAATTTGAACAATTCAACAACCTTTCGTGTGTGTAAGTGTGAAAAGCATATTTTGATTGAAAGGAAATATCTTCCGTGATTGCACAATCTAGGTAATGAAGTGTTTATCCGAAAGAGGAACATATGAGGGTAAACATGCATACCGATACGGAGCTTTTGGGAGCCTCCAGTCCCGGAATTACAGACTTGTGTATATGATCCCAGATATAAACGTTCCATTTCCTTCATGAGTAGTAACCCATCCTCGGTTAACCAGGGAATTATATCCGTTGTATATACAATGTCTCTCTGCGTTACATGAGTTTCTATTGAAAATCTTAAATTTCCATACACGCTGTCAATTACTCTCGCCCTCGAAGGTATTATGATTGTTCGTTAATCTTAGCCTCGTTTCGGACGTTTTGATTGTGAATGAGTTTTAAAAAAAATTTCAATTTAATGGAAAATCAAGGATGGTATTCGAGAGTAACTAACACCTCAAAGAATCTTTTATCCACACAATTGAGAATTGCAGACCGAGTAGCTTCTATTCGCTTCCAAAAACGGCATATGGTAAGACATGGCCTTGACCTCCACTTGTCCGGCTTGACTTTGAAACTCTCGGTTCAAGGATGCGCTGATAAAATATCTCAGAAGTGGTGTCTACATGTGTGTGATATACTGAAACAAAAAAAGGACATGATCTCAGTAAGGAACCTGGTACGTCAAACAACGTCTTCGTTTTGTTGCCAATAGAAGACACTGTATATATTCAAATTGAAGCAATACTGTTACAAATATACAGTGTCATGGTTAAATATATGTCACTGAGAAGTCAGGTTATATCAGTGTTATCAGAAAACCTATTAATAAACAATATTGACAAAGTATAATTTACATTATTACCTTATCATATGTGTATGACATATATCTAGCAATTATAATATAACATATATATAGCAACTATTGAATATATGATGAGCCTGTGTAGGGCTAGCATCAATAATATTGTTGGTCGTGTTAGGAATATTTAAAAGTTTAAACAAATAATTAAGGTAGAGAAAGTGTTAATCACATATATCTAACTGTGCGGTGCAAAGCTATGAACTCAACATGAAATGAAACACAAAGAAGCAAACATAAAAGAATGACATTAATTTTGTGCGGTGCAATGATGTTTATCAGTGAACTAAAATTGTTATGTAATTAGAAAGTGGAGATCGAAACTATTAGCGTCACAACAATTCTACAGTTAAATATTGTTCAAGACCTTCTTCGAGTTGGCATCTTCAATCTATGTGAGAGAATGAAAAAATTGCCACGTTGAGCAATGTTAAAGCCATATTTGAGCTGCCCGAAAATCAGCCAGTCTTGCTTCGGCAGTTGTTAAAATGAGCAACGAATCAAGATTTCTTAGTAAAGAATGAACCATACAACTGTATGGGTGACAACTTCCTATTTCTTGTCATAACATACCATATACTTCTCACCATTTGGTTGTAGTCACTTTTAGTTAGATAACGATGTAAGAATCTATATCGAAACGTCGCTTTGTGCAGTAAACAAGAAATTGTCATCCACATAGTTGATGTTTCATTTCTTAACGCACCAATCTAGAATGCCGATCAAACAATTAGCTTTTTTCACATTGTTTTCAACCGAATCTCATTTTGGTCGACTCAAATTGATTGTTTAGATTAGTCGCTGACCCAAAATATGCATTGCGTTCTTATAGATGGTTGTATTTCACACTAATGGTGCGGTACGCGATCACTATGGGAATTAATCAAAATGTAGACATTTAGTCGATCAACTAGTATACACTGGCAATTCGAGAGACTATCACAGGAGTTTTGTTTTCAATTGCTTTGGACCAATATTGAAAGTCTCAGAAAAGAATGAATGTCTGATAAACATTGTCATTATTGTGATGATGATGTTGAAGACAAACACCATGTGTAATTAGTATGCCCACTCTTTGTCAAATATTGTAAACGTTATTTATCAGCCTATTAATATTCACCCCTAGTATGGTGAAATATGTCCAGTTGATGAATAGTCCATGCCGAAATGTTATTTTAAGTTTATCAAAGTGTGTGTACCACATCATGAGTGTATATAAACAAAATGTAACTTCTTGAGTCAAATATTAATGTGTTTAGGCTATTGAAATATGTGAACCCACCAACCAACCACAATTGTGATTTTAAACATTATGCTTTGTTTTGTTCTAGAAATAAAGAAATTGAACTTGATAAAATGATAAAACTGTATGCTGGTTCATTAACACTACATCCAAGAGGCTGATTGGTCCGTCTATGGTTTTGCCAGATACTTCATTTCTGTTATAATCAAACTGTGAGCATGTTCAATGAAAGAACTGAGTCGTGAATACGGAGATGAGAATATATAAGTCTTGTAATGCACACAAAACTCAAAATAAAGGCTCGCAAATCCTGAAATAAAACTAAATCATTAGAAAAGGGTAAAGGAAATCTACTGTAAGTCAGGGAAATAAAGACTAGAAACAAGAATAAAAAGCAAATGATAAGTGAACTAAATAGAAAGATCTACAAAGTATACAACATCGAGGAGACAGCTCTCTGATCGAGTGAGTGGTTTACCACTGAAAACGACGTCATGATTGAACTGGCAATAACTTGTCCTCTATAGTGGGTTCCGTCAGGTCCAATTCCTGAAAACAATCTGCTGTTTGTAGTCTGTGCCTGTTACAAGTTTGATGTCACTCTGAGTAAGGTGTTTGACGTCAGCATATATCATGACAGATTAACATGAGGAAATCTACATTTCAAGTTCAACTTCGCATTGGGGACTCATCAGCCATCATGGAATCGCGTCCCACACGACAAGGATAGTGCGGACAAACCAAAGATCATAATTATCATCATGACGAATCCGGGAGTCGAAACGCAATCAGCGGATCCTGGTACGTTTAAAGGAGGCAACTCAGTTGCCACCCGTACCGCTCTCACTAATGTCCAGATTACAAGTTCATGTAAAAAATGTCTAGCCTCTGTGAGCAAGAGTCTCCCTTAAGGCTGTTGTCCCAAGCAAGTCATACACACATAGCAAAAGGTATGTTAAAAAAGCGTAATTCAATATGCGAAAAACTGAATTGTGTAAGTAAGTGAACACCTACTGACAGAAAAAATAATTTACTACAAACTTAAACATCGAAGAAACATTTTAAATTTGAATAATCCTTTTGCGGATAAGCAAGAATGACGATAATTGTAAATGTGCAAACGTAAGCATTTTATGAACAAATACTTACAACGTATTAGTACAAGCGCACACAAAAGCTCATATGAATAATTTTACTCTACTTTATCAATTTAAGTACTGTGCCAATATATATAGTTTAGTATTTCAGCATAAGCGACAAGGAAGTAAATATTAGAATAGGAGAACGTACCACATCCTGGACGAGATCATTGGCTTTCCGTTCGGTAGAGGCCGCCATCACAGCATCATATGTCGTGAGGTAGATACAATCATGATATGTCTCCACGAACTTTGTTTCCTCCAGTACGTACCAGACCTCATCTGGAAAATAAAATAATTATTTATTATGAGTTTAAATATCACATGTACATGTATGTTTAATATAAATGGATCGACTTGCTACAGAGGCTGCTAAGCAATATATAACATATGTTATATACGTAGAGAAACAAATAAAGGAACACAGGAAAATTCAAGTGTTACATTTTTATTTTCCAGTTTTCTTCACCACAGCGCCACTCAAAGCTGGTGATGAAAACTAAAAAATTAAAGGAACACTTGAATTTTCCTGTGTTCCTTTATTTGTTTTTCTACGTATATATTTGGGATGACACTTCCGCAGTAAAATACAGATTCTAGTACAATTTTTGGTTTGAGTCCAATTCGGGATTCAAACCCATACTGAGATTGAGGCACCTATTCGCCAGCACACAAAGTCAGCACTCTAACCCACTGAGCCAAGTGGAAGTATATGGAGTAGTCAGGAGATGTGGTTGGGAGACTCATCGCATCATAGTTACGTGGATCAGTGATCATTATGTCAATCACTTGATTGTCTGGTTTTAGATACAACTGTCACATAGTTGCGGCGTTACACAACATATATAATAAAGGGGTATAACCGTGTATAGCATATATAGTTACTTAACATTTATAATAACCTTTCCTATATTATTGTTATCCGTTTACGTATACTAGAAGATATTTTAAGGTATTTTCCAAATGTATGTTTTTGAATTGTTGAAACGTTTTGCAAATTTAATCTAAGAATTAGCTGTCAAGCAGATTCCCATGACAATGGCGTTCGTTCTCTCAGTTGTAACATAAATCTAAACGTTATGCGGTGATACGTTAGACCAAAAACTAACTCGGTCAGCTGTGAATGTAAGTCAATGAATATAACTTCTACGTCTTTTCATATAAATGACGTTGAATAATGACCCGTCTTCCTGATATTTCAAATGTAGTTCATTTCAACCGAGTTTTGAAGATTATTTACAAATCAAAGTCTGCATGCATTAAAGTAAACCAGACAGCTGCTTTGTTCCTGGATGTTGAATTATAATACATGCAGACAATTTGCATATAATACGACCTGACCGAAAAGACGTTTGAAACGTCATAACGCTGACCTTGACAATATGCTAATTGTAAGTCGGGTAAATCTGTCAAGGTGTGTTTACACAGCATATTATGTGTTGTACAGTAAATATCACTGCTTATCTGATTAACCTGGTTGTCGGTGTGGCAACTGCCATCCAGCATGAGTGGTTGCTGTGTTGTCATGTGACACAGACTTACAAAACGAGGCTACATAACGGGGCTATATTCAGGGGGAGATAATTTGATAGGAATGTGATGACACCGATCAGTGTTTCGTCGTCTAAAAGCACTCAATATAAGTACAATTGAAACTTAAGTATCATTAATACAAATGTGGTGAAAATGTTGTATGGAGCTTAAATGTTTCGTCATTTGCATCAAAATTCAGTCTTGAAAACGCGTAAGGTTTTCATTTCAGTACAAATAAATGTCAAAATGTAACAGGTTCCGTTCTAGTACAAAGGATAACAACATGTAGTTTTTGAAAACAAAACATCTCATTTGTTTCCAAGGTTTTATTCCTAATTTGATAAAATAAGTAATTTACGTGAAACGCGCATGCTTTCTGTAATAGCTTCTCATAAGGAGGGAAAAAGGAGAAAATAGAATCATTAAAATATGCAACTTAAAATATTTTTTTTTTTTTAATACATTTTAAAAGATACTTATATCGCTACCAAAAGATATCGCTGCCATGTATATAGTGTTCCCACAATATACAAAAACCCCATTCACTTGTTAAGAGCTGCTCCTAAAAAAATAGAGGCGGAGAAAAAAAATAATAAACGTGTCAAAAGTGTCTAAAACTAACACGCATTCTGCGAATAAGAATGAAAAAAACCATTTACATTTATACAACACCCATTGTTTCAGAATACTGAACAAAGTGTCACCTATTGTCTACAGAATAAGCGTACATTATCAACTTGCTATGCAACAATACATCAGTGTATCTGACGCCCCTAACATAACACGTGGTACGTAGTTACGTCACCTAACGTCGACTGAAGGTGGAGCGTGATCCTCTCGTACCAGTAACGACAAGCTTAACCAACGTAATAAAAGTTTGATACGTTCCATCATGACGTCAAGGACAACATTTACACGGAAATTAAATAATTTTATACCGATGTTTAGTAGTTATGTACAAAACAAGAATATTAACGCTGTTTAATGGTGCTATAATATGCCATTATGAGAAAGAGGCTTGACACCACGTGGCCCGCCTCTGCGACAGAAGGAAAATGTCACATCAGCTGACAGACGTTATGGCATACTCTCATATAACGGTATTTTCTAAGGCCTGGTCGTTTATTATAGGGGGAGTGCGTGGGGGGCATTGGTCTTAAGATATTTGTTGATCCACCATGTTTATGTAACATATTTCCACCCCACCCTAAATACACGAAACCTCTTGTTCAGGCCCCCACCCATCCACTTCCCAGTATGGTGTTTAAATTTATCATAATTTTTTAATTAAAAAATAAATTAGAAGTGTCACATGTTCATGACATCGTAACCCTCTCATTCTCACCGGCCCGTCCATCCCCTATAATTTATACACAGCGTTTACTGTATGTCATACTGACATAAGAGGCTTAAGGTGTGATGGTACTAAGTGAGGTAATATATTAGGGTTGTGGTAGCCATGACGAACTACGGTAAGCATTCCAACACGAGTTTTCGCATCTTTGGTCATTAGATAAATAATAAATATTGTCAAAGTGTCCTCGTGAAGCGGAAATAACATTAAAAACGTAGGTTGTGGACGGAAGTACGCTAATCGAGACACACTTCTTTGCACTGGTGTCGACGTTGACAATTTGAAAAATGTTTCCTGGAGGAGTGAGTGAGTATGGTTTAACGCCGCTTTTAGCAATATTCCAGTAATATCACGGCTGGGGACACTAGAAATAGGCTTCACACATTGTACCCATTTGGGGAATCGAACCCGGGTCTTCGGCATGACGAGCGAACACTTTAACCATTAGACTACCCCACGCCCCTGTTTCCTGGAAAGGTTATGGGGAAAAAAACCTATGGAATATAAACTACTGAATCGCAAAGGGAAAAACCCTTTGAAAATGAACGAATAAATGAAACTACCTGAATCGCAAAAGTAAATGTATAGCTATAAGCTGTACACAATAGAATTGGTTCAATAAAGACTTACATGAAATGAATCTGAAACCACATGATTTGAAATTTTGTAAAATTGTGCCGAAAAATCCCATTTTTAAAATTTAAAGAAAAGATACCCATCAGCAGTTGTTTATAATGCGATGTATTTTAATTTTCAAGCTAAAAATCAATTTTATTTACAAGAAACTCAAATTATATCTTAAAAATATAACCATGTAGAAGTATTCTGTGAGAGCTGACTACGTGCCGGTAGAAATCAAGTTCTTAAGTTTCATATCGCTAAACAAAGAAATTTCAACTGGAAATGAAATACATGATGAAATTAAATGGTGTTATGAATAATAGCTTTTCTTGCTCAGTATATTTAGATCTGAATCACGACCATGACAAAAGAATATTTAGCGTTCTTAAGAATTTGAACCTGATTTTTAAAACAAAATTTTCAATTAATAAAACAATTTTTCAAATTTTATATTTTAAAAATAAGAAATTTTATCAATATTAACGAAAAGTAATATGACAATGTAAGCCGCAGGTAAAACTGTCACTACCATGTACAGATTGAGGGCAATAAATTGTCATGATTTGTATTGTCTAAAGTACAACATAATCCCTATGGAGCTGTTGTTCTGGTCTGTCCTATTATAGATTCTATGGTGATATGAGACAACTTTAACCTGTACACATTTCATCGTGTGTACTTCCTCATTCTGTGTTGACGCTGTTCTGTATTCACGGTAGACTGTCGTAACTCAACACTGAGGTGAGGTACTGACACCGGGTAAACAATAGATCATTTGTCTCTGTCCACAAAATGAAATCTTGTCATTTCTTGTCTTGTTACTAACACAGTAAAGATGAAGAATATTGGGACGTTATGATCCCAACGTTTTGTGTTTGGTTAATTGTGCTTCCTTGTATGGCATAAACGGGTCTCGGGAATGGGATGACAGGAGGTACTGGTTAAATGGGTTGGGCACAATGGGGTTCTTCTCTAAGTGACCACGTAAACAATACTCCAGTTACATCATGTTGTGTCTGATTCATATGGGGATTAAAGCCCGAAGTAATACAGGCTGTAGACGTCTATTCACGAGCACGGGTATAGCGTTCACAAACTTAACAATGTTATTTGGGCTATTCGACCACAGGATCTTGATATGCCTAAGGGGCGTAACTCTGCTCAGCGGGTTGAGGTGCCACCAATGAATGCTAATACATCATCAACTACGTTTGGCTTATAAATATATTAACATGTTAATATCTCACATGTATTTGTTGATTAACTAAGCTCATGAGCGTTTAACGAAATATTTTATACAAATGCAGTTTTAAGAGATTTACTTAAAAACCTTCCGAGCGGTATTGTTGGTCCAAACCTTCTGTACATACAAAATGTATCTGATGTCTTCAATTTTGAACCATTGTACTTACCCTGTGCAGGGTTTTAGAGAACAAAGACAAGATTCATGTTCTAGCTGACTAATGTTCCACACAGAAGTTCAAAAAAAAGTCATCCGTTCTAAATTACACTTGAAGCAATGGCTTATAAAATATAAGCCACCAAACCCTTTCAATATGAATATCTGATGATAGCTAGGTCTATTGTACAATTCCGACACTGTCTGCATGTGTTGACGGGTTAACGAATCTCTATCGAACAGTGATGATACAGTTTAGTTCACAAAAAGATGAGCGTATCCTGTGATACCGTTGCGCCCATCACAAACGCATGCAAAGACACGACATCTGAAACGATACCACCCACAACATAGGGTACAAGTAAAAATTGAAAGTTCTTAACGCATTCTTACCTCTGACATTACCAAGAAACACCGAAATTCCCACGTTATTGTAATCTGTGAAGATCTGAAACAGAACGAAACAGGAGCTGTAAAACCTCAAAACGACTCAAAGAATAACTAAACTGATTTTTTTTACCTCAACATACACAATGCAGACTCTTACATAATATCATTTGATAATTGTGACAATTACTAAGTGATGACTCCGTATTGTATCAACTGTCAACTTTAGTTTTAGTGAGTGAGTGAGTGAGTTGGGTTTTACGCCGCTTATAGCAGTATTCCAGCAATATCACGGCGAGGGGAACACCAGAAATGGGCTTAACACATTGTACCCATGTGGGGGATCAAACCCGGGTGTTCAGCATGACGAGCGAACGCCTTAACCACTAGGCTAACCCACCGCCCCTTTTCGTAAGAGGCGACTGAATGGATGTGACGATCAGGCTCGGTAGATGGACGATTACATGTCATTATATCGGAAAAGCTGGATCGATGTTCATGATGTCAATCACTGGATTGTCTGATCCAGACTCGATTATCAACAGACCGCCGTCTTATAGCTGCATATTATCGAGTGCGGCGTTCAACAACAATCAGTCAAAATAATCGGATGCTATATCAAACAATCTTGTCTCTTTACCTGTTTGAAGATTTTAACGCCGACTGGATCCATAAAGTGCATAGCGGAACAGTCAATGACGATGTGGTGGAACGGGCGGGGGTCCTCCACGATAACGCCAGACAGAGACATCCTCTTGTTCATCTTCTCATCGTTACATGGAGGATCGGGGTTGATGGTGATGCCGTTCTTCTTTGGTTCCAGTTGCAATACAGTGGTTCCTTCGTTGATCAACTGTTGCTGACTCTAAAAGAGTACCATAACATTGGTCAGTCAGAGGATTACATTGCACTGGGCAGCCACAAAGTGCCATAATATTGGTAAATTTGAATGTAACATAAAATTGGTTAGACAGAATGTGTCATGGTTACGGTAAGTCAGAAAGTGTCATAATATTTGTTAGACAACATGTTCCAAACTATTTATAAGTAAAAGTGCCATAATATTGGTAAATTAGATTGCATCATAACATTGGTAAGATATTTTTCAGAGTCAGAATGTACCGTACTACTTTAAGTATGAATGTACCATTCTATTGGATAGTCAGACTGTACCATACTTTTAGTAAGTAAGAAGACTTTGTGTTTCCAAAATGTCATTAAAGTGATGCTTACGTGCAGTCTGCTGAGATCTTGTTTTTGCAGTTTCTTCATCTTTTTCAGGATCCTCTCGGGCTTAGCACCCGTGACGGTGTACACGTGACGCATGAAGATGTCGGCGTTAGCGTAGTAGACGGGGGCGTTGAAGCCGACTACCTTTATGCCCTGATATTTCTCCGCCTTCAAAAAGAAATATTATGGGTTTTGTGAATATTCGATTTCTGTTCCGTACTTGATGACTTTTTCTTGTTCTCTGATATCGCCGAATTGATCGATATAAAAGCTAAAATTCACACGGGTGAAAAACTGTAAAAACTGGTTATTTATGAATCTCACTCTAGAGAAATAATATCAACGCCAGCGGGTAAAAGTTTCAAACTCTAAGGCTTCCGTCCACCATAATGACTGACTGACTGAGTTTTGGTTTTACGCCGCTTTTAGTAATATTCCAGCAACATCACGGCGGGGGACACCAGAAATGGGCTTCACACATTGTACCCATATGGTGATTCGAACCCGGGTCTTCGGCGTGACGAGCCAACGCTTTAACCACTAGGCTACCCCACCGCCCCTCCACCATAATGATATCGCCAGGGTAAAATGGTAAGACTTTTGTATTAAGGCTACACGGGGAAATCATTGAAAATATCTACGAGAGAATGGCAGGGTATAGTAAATAATCTGGAACGTTAACTGTCATGAAAACATTATTTTGCATTGATACTTTTTGTGAGAAAGACTTGAAATAAGGGAACAAGTTAAGGAGGCGAAGGTTGGACGAGCGGGAAATGTTGAGCGTTTGCGGGGTGTATTAAACTGGGGAATGGGAGGGGGGAGCGGAAGGGCCTAAGAGGGGTGGGTTATTGATAAACTGTTAGGGATAGGCAGGTTCAACTGAGTGAAGTTACAAAGCAAGCTTTATTTTAAACAGTATTCAGTAAAAGTCATATTGACACTTGCTGACACGATTTTAAACAAATAATAGAGACCATTCTCTTGTGCGATTTGATCGTGTAGCACACCCGGAAAAACGTGACATCAGTTCCAGAAAGGTACCCGTTTAAACTTTGTTCATAAAACTCCCGGAAATACCAAGCACGTTTTAATAGCTTGGGTCAGGCGATAGAACACGATTCGAGAGTAGCTTGCGTATTGTCAAGATACCATTACAATGAGTTATTGTACATTTACCTTTTCATATTGTGCACCCTTCTGGAGTACCTCCACATCCGAGACCTTCTCTAGTGATGAGGCTTTTGCTCTGTGAATCAATATTAGACACCCATAAGTTTAAAATGTAAATTTAATTAGCGTAGTTTCAAAACTGCTTTTAGCTTTTTGTATTATATATGTTAATACGTTTACAAATATGACTTCTGAATGAATATGCAAATTTAGTTTTAAGTTTTAATTAAACATGTATCTACGAAATTTTGTATAACCATAATAAACCATAATTAGGAGTGGAAGCTTTAACTCGTCATTCGTGCGGATTCCATTACCAACGCGTTCACATCATTGGCCGTGTGATTGCTGGAATGTTGCAGTATATAGCATTACTCACTCACTCACGACATATTGGTATTTGCAGGTCTCTACTTACAGCTGCGTCCTGACGACGACGGTGAAGAAGGAGAAGACGATGCCGATCATGAGGCCCATGTCAACGTGGAGGACCACAACGCACACGAACGTCACTATCCAGATAGCCTGCAACATCAACAACAACAACGTGTTAAATAGTACAAACAGGAGAACGAAAGAGAAACGGAGATATGCTGGTGATATTGCACAACTTGATACAGGTACATCTATAAAAAAATTCTTTCAGCAAGTCTACAACTATATGAAAACTTGGAAAGTTCTTTTCCAAATATTGTATTTTGTCTTTTGTTAAAGTGTAACCAGTGGGGCTTAATCTACATCATTTTTATTACGTATTCGTTTGTAATCAATGTTAATTTTGTTTCAACTTTTTGTTAGAATTGTGGTGCTTACACAGTCGTAGATGGAAATCCTCCAGAGTGATCTTAGTTCCAGGATCTGTAGGAACATGGACCTCAGTGCCACCATGATGATGGCAGACAACACGCACTGAAACAACATGGAAGTAGCAGATCAACAACACTGTCAGATTACAGGCTGTTACTGAGTATTTGATACCCGGTTATGTCTGGCTGTGTACAGTCACTGTGATATGTTTTCAGTAATATTCCTCTGCGTGAGGTCACGAGAGAATGCTATGACGTCTTAATACAATGGATGACATCACGTGCTTCGTAACAACTGAACACATCTGGTAAGCAAAATGCAGAGATAAAACAACAAAAATTGATGTGATTAAATTCGTGCTATCAATTTCACCAAGCCAACTGGCACGTGCGTTTAGTTTCTTTAAATTGGATTAATACTTGAATACTGAATATACGGTCAGGTCGAAACACACACTTTTATACATATTACATTGCCAATTACACACTCACGACACCTCACAGACAGATCTAGCTGTTTTTAAGTGTTGACTTTCTGTTAAACATCTATCACAGTCAAGATACGTCAGGGGAGTCCGCAGATGATATCCGCATTTAATCCACAGGGGTTCAAATCACTTTTTGGACAATAATTTTTGAAAAGAAAAATCTAGATCTTTGCAACCGTATATTGTTTTTATATGTTATGAGTAACTTATTTTTCAAATTTGAACCAAATCGGTGAAGAAATGGATACACTCATTACAGAAAATGAGTGGATTTTGTAGAAATTTCTCCCGCTACACTCACTACATAAAATGAGCGTAGGAGGAGAATTTTCTAAAAAACATCCATTTCTTCACGGATTTCGTTCAAATTTGAAAAATAAGTTACTCATGACATATAAAAACAATAAACGGTTGCAAAAATCTAGATTTCTATTTTTAAAAAATATTGTCCAAACAGTGATTCGAACCCAGTGATTTAATCAACCTCTGGAGTTAACTCTATTATTGCTCTTATCTGTACTGCCAATCTAGAATATACGCTGAACTGCTGGTTTCAATGTCCGTATTTCTTTGTGCTACTTTTGATGTCGCACAATGGAAATCTGCAGCATATTTACAACTCACACGATTATTACTTATTGCGTGTTGAACCTTAGAGTAAACCATATGTTTATTATATACGTTTACGTATACAGCTCGTGGAAACTATCGGTAGCATTAATCAACACTTGTGCAGAGTAAACACATAACTTCAGTACTCTGTCATAATCTCTCTGAAATAACGTACGTTAGGTAGAGACTGGAACAGGGGCCCAATGAAGAGGATCACAATGAGGACCAGACAGGCTGAGAAAATGCTGGTCACCTGAAATATATAAGTAATGAGTGAGTGAGTGAGTTGGGTGTAACGCTGCTTCCAACAGTATTACAGCTGGCTGATGATCGCCCGAAGGGATGCTGGTCTCAGACATTTACAACTTTGGTGAAACCCTCGAGCAGGGTATGGTGCAACCAAACCTGTAGACATAACCAGGACGAACCCGGGATTCGAACCACGACACGTTTACAGCACACCCATTGGACAATTCTCACAGCGAATTGCGGCATCTCGTGTCCAATGCCAAGAAAGGTATTTTGGAAACATTGTTGTACTGCAGTAAAACAGTCTGCGTGTGAAAGTAATAGACGCATTAAAGAGGAAGTTACACAAACATATGGTATTTGTTACGCTCATGATATAGGCGAGTGTGTACCTGAGTCTTGCCTCCGGCCGAATCCTGCACAGAGCTCCTGGAAACTGAGGCAGCGAAGGGGTAGCAGGAGAAAAAAGACCCGAACACATTGCCGAAACCATAGGCAACCAGTTCCTGGAGACAAAATTTTGAACACATACAGCCTTAGATTGGACAAACACTGTGGACATGCACATGAACACAGGAAGTGAATACATTGGATTATATGTGAATTAAGGCTTTCAACAGAAACATAAGAAATACATGCTATTTGTGTCATACTTCAACGGTTAAAAGAGGAAAAGTAAGAACTTTACTCATTTTTGTAGGAATAAATGTCATTCATTAGCTATGTATAAACATGTCGCAAACTAGAATACGTAATATACCTTGTTGGAGTCGATGTCGTAGTGGTGTTTGTTGGCCATGACGACGGCCAGGGATACAGACTGTGCGAACGCGACGATGGCGATGGCAATGCAGTCTGTGCCGTAACTGCTGACGTTGACGAAACTTGGCGGGGCGGGTACGGGCAAGCTGTAAATACATCCGACCCTTTACTCTTCTGGTGACCAATGGAAAGACTCACTGCCCATACGGAGAATTTAGAAGTTCTAACTACTAATGAATGTTTTTAAAATTGACTCACCCAGCAGGGATGTGGCCAACCGTCCTGATTCCCCACATTTCAACGAACCCTCCAAAATGGCTAGCAGCTGTACCGATCACAACCTGTGAAATTGAGAAGACTTTTATCCAACTTTTAAATGCTAGCGTCAAGACAATGTCCATTAACCTGAATCTATGTCAGTGTTTCAGGAGAAGTATTTGTGTCAGCGGTTTGGATCCTCGTGTAGTGGTTCGAATCATTTCTTAGGCAACTCAGACCATTGGTTTGTCAAAGCTATGAAGGTGGGTTTCAATACGCTGTCTGCGTCAACTTTGGTAATATTCATTTCCAATATTAAATATCAATAATCAATAATGACACTGTTCATATGGGTACAATGTGTGTGAAGCCCATTTCTGGTGTCGACCGCCATAATATTGCTAAAACTTTGCTAAAAGCGCGTAAAACTAAACTCACTCACATCCGTTATGGACATTTCTAGCCACACTAGAATGTCCAACTAGAATCAGGATCTGATCAGGGTTTCTCGTAGAAGAATCAAGGAGGTCTCTACTCTCGGTGGGGTAGAAGTGGTTAAAGCGTTGGCTCGTCGCCGAAGAAGATATTCAATGTGTTAAGTCATTTCTGGTGTCCCCCGCCGTGATATTGCTGGAATATTGCTAAAAGCGGCGTAAAACTAAACTCAGTCAGTCAGTCAAGATCTACTCACCACAATGAGTTCGATAGGGATGGGGACCTTCAGCTTGGCCTTGAACCTCTGGTTGATCTGCACCTTGACGAGGTAGATGATGACGATACAGATGAATGAGATGCCCATCTCCGGCAGGTTGGTGTTGGGCAACTCGCGGATGATGGCTTGGTACGTCTGTTCAGAAAGTAATAGATTAATTTCATATATAGACAGGTTAAAATCCGAAAATGACAAACCCAAGATGGAATAAGTGTTCATTTGAAATTACGAGAACTAAGGGGATTAATTCAGGAGTTGGTGTAGGTTTTACCGAAATTTAATGCACCCAATATGGATGACAACATCTTGTATATTACTTTGAGCGACGTTTCGGTGTATAGTCGTACACGTTGTCAAGCTAAGAATGCGTATGCTTCAATTTTGACTTAGCAACTTCTAATTTGCCGATGATTTAATTTAGTGATGCACCCCATGTTGTTTAAAATTATGTTCTACATTGCTATTTCAAATATCATCAAATACTCGGTTTAAGGGTTGGATATGTAGCCAAACGGTTTGAGCGGTCGCCCGTCACACTTGAATGGTTGGGTTTGCTTCCCACTGTATTGTCCTCTCTGATATTGCCGGAATGTTGCTTAGGTGACGAAAGACTTTCACTTTCACAACCCCATTCATTCAGATTCTACGAACTCTCAAACAGACTCACTCTGATTATCTGGAACAGGTTTGGGAACCTAGGAATCTTGATCCCAAAGACGTATTTGACCTGGCTGGTGAACACGTGAACTGCCGCTCCGGTGGTGAATCCGCTGACCAGTGAGTCGGACATGTAGGTGGTCAAGAACCCCACACGAAATATGCCCATGCCGACCTGTCAACAGAGAATAACATGATGATAAAACGTCAAATAACTACCATTTAATCATTTAACCTATTCTTCTAAGAAGAGTGTGTGAGTCTAGTTTTCCGCCGCACTCAGCAATATTCCAGCTATATGGCGGTCTTCTCAGAAGAACATGGTAAAGTAAAACATGCACCTAAATAGAGAACACTGTTATAAACACTGATGAATGAGTAGTGATTGTCTATTTAGTAATTTCACGGTATTTATAGTCATATATATTTCGACTGATCATTCTTTAAATATAGATGGGTTAATACATCCCGTTTATATATCGCACACTCCTTAATCCAAACACTTATCTTAAATGATCTCTATGAAAGGAAGCAAAGCTAGGATGATAAAATTAGTTTCGCATCTGTTTCGTAAACGAAGCTAGGGGCGATAGTTTCGCACATGTGTGCTCATAGCTGTTGTTCTTTTTGAAGTGATGGTGATACACAAAACATCCGTATCGATTAACAAGGGTCGTTTGTATTGTCAAGGTCATATCACCTGGATGAGGCCCGTGAGAAAACACACAGTCGCAGCAACAGATATCTTGAACCGTATCTCGTCCTCGGACACGGCAACCTGTTCCGGTGACCCATCAGACCCGTTCAGTCCCAGTATAGTAGTGTTCTCTATCTGTAGGCCTCGCGCCTCTCTCCACAGGTTGGTTTGTGTGGCGACTATACCCCCTGTCATCAGACTCACAACCGCTACAGTACCTGGAAGGATGGAGGATACGCTGAATTAAACATTGATACCTAGATTGGCACGAATTGTGTAAAATAGTGAGTGAGTATGGTTTTACGCCGCTTTTAGCAATATTCGAGCCTTACCACGACAAGGGACACCAGAAATGAGCTTCACACATTGTACCCATGTAGGGAATCGAACCCACATCGAACGCTTTAACCACTTGGCTACCCTACCGACCCTTGTCTAAAATATTGACTTTCGATCTTTGGTTTAAATATATAATAGAATGAAGCCACACGAATCTCTTCATTTATGAAACAGATGAAATCTTAACTTGACAAAGAATTCTCAGCCTGCTTAGGTGTTTTCGCATATTCGGCAAATCATTCGGCAAATTAGGCATTCGTGCACATTGCGCTTTTTCAAAAGGGTTTCGTATTATTTACATACCTCCGTCATATAGCTGGAAAATTGCTGTGTCGTTAAACAACAAACAAACAAACAATAGGGTTTTGTGTTGTCACCTAGGTCAGTGGCTTGACCTTTGGCTTTTCACATTCAAGGGCAAGAAGTCTGGTGGGTTTGGGCATGAAATAGGTACGACACAAAGAGATCGAAGGTAAAAGCTTTTGTCCATTTTTATGGTACACTGATTGCCTTGCAGAGGTAAAAAGGTTACAGTATAATTGTTTCTTCCGTTCTGGTGTCAACGTGTCAACAAATGGCGATCAAGTACTAACATAAATCTAACTGACATCTATGTCCAACCTGACAGGATGTTTTAGCTTAGTAAAAAGTCTAGATACATTGTCATTTGTTCCGGAAATATTATTACCAGTTTGTTTCACGGATTGTGAGAGAGTAGTTCTAGTCTAGTAAATGAACACATTTTACAGAAAAACAGTTCTTAAATCATCTTAATAAAAGATAATGAAAATGAGCTTAGGGACTTTCTTCTTTTACAGACTGCAGTAATCTAGACTTGCCACATATGATAGACTTGCATGAGCATTCCTGGATATCATTTCAGGTTCCGGATGGCATTCCGTGATTGTATATTTGTTATTCAAGTGGTGAATCGTGTTAAACGTAGTAATATTCATGAATATGTGTACTCTCGTTCGTAATAACCATTCCTTCAATATAACAGCATTGGGGGTAATGTGTACGGACGGTCTATACAAGCAACACAAAAACGTATCTCTGTCACGAAAAGGACGTATCGCAACATTCTGTGCTGTGTATCCGTCGCCTTAAAGAAACGTCTGATTTCTTACCCAATTCCCTGTTCCGCTTTAAATTAATGTACGCAATTAAGTGTGGTATTTTTATGTAACACTCCAGAGAAGTTGGTCAGGATTTCAACACGTTATATTCCCATGGCCTCACGGATGCCTACCATTCTTTATCATACAACAGTGACACATTTCTTAACACGGCATTACCATGTTAAAGGCCTGCTGACTTTGGAAATCCCCACAGAACCTTATCAAATACATCTACTCCATCGACACACCGAGACATTCTTTTATTAACGCGGTGTAATTGGATGGATGAAATGTTCAAATAAGAGGCAAAAACGTTTTTAAATTGACGGCGGTTATTGTCGTGAAAAAACTCGCGGTTATTCAGACAGGTGTCCTTGAACCGAACTTTCAGTGCGATCTTGAAGAATACAGGATTCTTTTTCAAAACTGGTCTTGTCTTTTGTTTGTTAAAGTTAAAAGGTTATGTGTCTTGGCTTAACAGGTGCGAGACAGAAATGTAAGAACGTGTCCAGTGATATAAACATACTTCTTCAGCCACGTCCCCGTTCAGGATGAGGGCGGTAGGATAGCCTAATGGTTAAAGCGATCACTCGTCACACCGAAGGCCCGGGTTCGATTCCCCACATGGGTGTCCCCCACCGTGATATTGCTGGAATATTGCTAAAAACGGTGTAAAACCTAACTCACTTACTCACCATTCAGGATATAGTGAATATAGGTTATACTGAATATATTTATCTTTATGCTTTTATGATTTCACGTCACTGAAAATGTACATAGATACTGTACAAATATTAGTGTTTTTTGTTATTTTAACAGACACTTTTAACATTTATGCTATTATGATTCGACAACAATGTGTACAATCATGTGTACATTTGTTTTCTAATGATTGAACTTCATAATAACTTTTGCAAACTTTATATAGGTGCCCCGTGTCGAAAGATAATCAATTACACGTGTGTTTGTTGTTTAACACTCCACTCAGATATAGTCCAACTATATAGCGGTGGTATGTAAATAATCGAGCCTGTACCAGACAATCCAGTCCGGAAAACGGGGTTGCCGGATTAACAAGATTTCTCTGTATGAACACCATTCTTACCCATTGAGATCTGCTTAGACGTCCCGAATATGAAGTAGACGAGCACGGGGAAGAACGACATGTAGAGCCCGACCACGGGGGGCATGTCCGCCAACATAGAGTACGCCATACCTGCAACAGAACGGATGAATGAGGAGTGAGTGAATGAACGGTCGTCAGTGTTACACTCGACATACTTCAGCTGTTAAATAATTGATTCAGAACAGACAATCAGTGATGGATGTAATAAGCAGACTCCATTAGTGTTAATAAAAACGCCGTGAACCAGGTCAGTGAACTGGACCACTGCACCATTTAGTAAGGTCATACGACATGCATAGGGAATTTAGGACCAATTCTAACCGGAACTGTTCAAGACGAAAATGAATCAGATGAGCATCATGTATTAAAAATATATATTAAATGTTACCAGTGTTATAGTGAATCTATTTTAAACACATTTTATTTGTATATTGTATTATTCTTTACGTTAAATAATGCAACAAGCCTGTAACGTTCTGTTGTTTTCTGGTTCATCGTATGCAATCCTAATGTCATGCTGCCCCGGGCGATTGCATCCCATGTCGACATATACAATCTAGGTGCAGCGTTTTATAATACTTTTAAACTATTTTGCATGTTATATGAAATTTAAATACAATTTGCATGCAAAGGTGAAAACTGAGATGTAAGCATATTTTATAATCTCTCCTGTACACTTCAGAGTCATATATGACTTTAGAGTACTTATACATTGCTTATTATGTGGCCTACATGTTTAAGGACAATGTCCTCATAAATATTAACACCATCATTAATCAGAAGCCAAAATATAAAAATGTCAAATACGACATCACTGAAATTGTTCGTTTCAACAACAACACTTTCGTTATCAAAACACGCTTCTAATTGTGTTTTTTTCAAGGCCTCTGACACAATTATATACCCGGGATGACGCAAAGATGACGCAAGGATGACGCAATTATACTTCAATGATTCAGTAATGACGACATATGTGCGTCATGAACGGGATGGACAACTGTTATTGCAAATAATCCTGCGGGTAGAGTTGTTTTCGTATATCATATGTGTTCCAGAAATTACAAACATACCATTGTCTTATAAAAAAATAACTTTTACACTACGAAAAGACTTGATCCTTCAGCATTGGACCTCCCTTTTTGCAACTCTTATGAATATTAACATGTATGACATTATCAGGCGCGAATACGATCACGTGAGGTCAAGGACAGATGCTTCACCCGACAGGTGACATGGAGTGCAGCTTATTTCAACAACTGCTTTACTGTAACATATACTGTTTCTTCCGGGTCAGCCATCCGTACACTGAGTGACAAACACCAAAGAGTGATGATCGTATTTCCATGCGCTGAAGGTGACTTCGACATAAAGCCTTGCACTGAACGTATTGTATTCCTTAAATGTCCATAGTAACCTTTCAATGTCAAATAATAGTATCAAATTATGACATTAATGGCCTTTCAGTTATATAAGGTTTCTCCATAAAACAGATATGCCTTTGGAAGCATGTTATATATTAATATGCCAATACATATATGGGCGTTTCATCTTCAGCAAATATTAAGTGCAACTGTAAGCTTAGAATCTCCCCGTCCATGATCGATGGAAATCTAACAGTGATCGATGAAAATAATACTGTTGTTATATTGTTTATCGATGCATGCATGAGGGTATTTATGTGCAAATAACAGACACATGTATTTATGTTTTGTTGAATATGACATAGATATTTTTCAGACACCCGAATCGAATTACACCAATATAACCGATTACGTTAAGAAACCAACAGAAAAAGGTCGTATTATTGAAGTACACAAGAGAGTGGTGGGTTAGCACTCTGGTTAAAGCGTTGGGTCGCAGTGACCCGAACAACTCGGGTTTGATTCCCATATTGGTCAGACTCTTGTTTATGATATTGATTTATTCGTAGTTCCAATACAGGCGTAGTGTCAATATGATACCAATATCGCCATCTTGCTTGTCTGGAAATAGTGAGTGAGTGAGTGAGATGGGCCTTACGCCGCTTTTAGCAATGTTCCAGCAATATCACGGCGGGGAAAACCAGAAATGGGTTTCACACATTGTACCCTTGTGGGGAATCGAACCCGGGTCTTCGTCGTGACGAGCGAACTCTTTAGCCACTAGGCTACCCCACCGCCCTGTCTGGAAATAGGGGAGTTTACACCGAAAAATCGCTTTGTAGAGTTAGTGAGCTGGCTTGTACGCTGCCTTTAGCAATATTACAGCAATATAAGGACGGGGGGCACCAGAAATGGGATTCATACATTGTACACATATGGAGAATCGAACCCGTACCTTCGGCATGACCAGCGAACGCTTTAACCACTAGGCTACCCCATCTCCCCATTTTGTGTAGAAAATGTATGTGTACCTGTACCTTTACACCTGTCCCGTACACTTTTTTCTTTGCCTGACAGATGTTTACGGATACGGCTTCAAGAGCGCCTGTTGTGAAGTCACGTTATGTTATATGCCCCGTGTAATTCCTCCTTATATTCTGTTTCAAATGCGTGTTTAGATGTACGATTTTCTCTGAGAGAAGAATAGCAGTTTATGAAATATTCACTTTGCATTCGAAAATATTGATAAATTAGTCAATTTCTCGCCCTTTAACTAGCCGATGGTATTTACCGCACACTTTTCTTTTCATCAAAAGTGTACCAACATCGTGTCCTTCTCAACCATTTTAGTCTAAAGGGGCGGTGGGGTAGCCTAGTGGTTAAAGCGTTCGCTCGTCTCGCCGAAGGCCCGGGTTTGATTCCCCACATGGGTACAATGTGTGAAGCCCATTTCTGGTGTCCCCCGCCGTGATAAGGCTGGAATATTGCTAAAAGCGGCGTGAAACCCAACTCACACACTCATTCATTTTTAGTCCAAAATAAGTCATGTTTCGGCTTATGAACTGCATCTTTTCCCACAGTCTTAAAGTTGGAAATGTTGTATGTGAGGTCCTGAACGCTTATAGCATCTCTGAATGTAAAGTGACTTTCTCTATTTGAATGCCGGAAGTTTTGAAATTCCAAAACAAGAAACGTCAATAAAACGAGTGGACGCCAAAACATCCCTTTACCCTATCTCAAGCTAATAGACGTGACGTTTTCACCAAGCGCAATAAAGCAGAGGATCCGCGTTCCTTAAATAGATACACAAACGAAGGGCTGGGATCAATATTTGCTTGTTAATTATCGTACATTTGTAAACATCAGATGATCCAGTCAAAGGCATTCTCATCAACAACTCTCCAATAACAATGGTCCTAACACATGAGGAAACCCGACCCTTGGTGTTTTCGTCTTAATCCTTAAACATCAACAATAACCGCCACGGGGGTAGCCTGCCCTGTGTGATTGTTCTATTGCCAGTATCTGACATATTGACACGTACAGAAACGGCAGGACGTCATGATATGTGTCAATCTTTTAACGATTGTGTTTTAATTTGTTTCCTCAAGGTCAAATCTTATGAACATGCGCACGCTATGTTCTACCTGTTTATTGCTATAAAATAATTAAGAGCGACATACACAGATCGAGCCGAGTACGTGTGCTTGTTTGAATACGAGCATTATGAGGTTTGACATTTCTAAAGACTAACAGGTTTCATATGGTGTACGAATAGCTCTTTATAAATTCGCAGCACGAAAACATTTTTTTTACAATTTTGCTCTGTATATGGCACCAGTAGTGGCCAGGAAACTATTTTATTTTGGACTGGCGTCAATTCTCTGTCATTTTGGGATATTGTACCAAGTGTCGCATAGGACATTTTATAAACTTAAATTTGATAGGTTAACCTGAGATGCAAAGAGATGCTTGGATCTCAAGGTCATTACGTGTCATGCATCACAGATGAAGGTTTTGTCAGTTTTGTCTGACTTTATAGCTGTCTGAGACACTCCGATTCATCTGCATGGAACATTTATGTAACATCTGCATTCATTTATGCATGCATAACAGGTATGACATATAGATAGAGTAGCAAATATTAGGATATAGTGCTAACTGGAAGACACGTGAAATGGCCACATCATACGTACACATATAGTAGCCCCAACATAAATTTACATAGTATAGCCACACCATACAGATCAATACAGAAGCCCCAACATAGATTTACATAGTATAGCCACACCATACTGATCAATATAGTAGCCCCAACATAGATTTCCATAGCCTAGCCACACCATACAGATCAATATAGTAGCCCCAACATAGATTTACATAGTATAGCCACACCATACAGATCAATATAGTAGCCCCAACATAGATTTACATAGTATAGCCACACCATACAGATCAATACAGTAGCCCCAACATAGATTTACATAGTATAGCCACACCATACAGATCAATATAGTAGCCCCAACGTCGACTTTCATACTTTAGCTGTATCATACAGATCACAATAGTAGCCCCAACATCAATTTCCTTAACCTAGCCACACCATACAGATCAATATAGTAGCCCCAACATCAACTTTCATACTTTAGCTGTATCATACAGATCACAATAGTAGCCCCAACATCGACTTTCTATAACCTAGCCACACCATACAGATCAATATAGTAGCCCTAACAGCAATTTCAATAGCCTAGCCACACCATTCAGTTCAATATAGTAGCCCCAACATCGACTTTCATACTTTAGCTGTATCATACAGATCACCATAGTAACACCAACATCAACTTTCATAGTATAGCCACACCATACTGATCAATATAGTAGCCCCAACATAGATTTACATAGCATAGCCACGCCATACAGATAAAAAAAGTAGCCCCTAACATCAATTTCCATAGCCTAACCACACCATACTGATCAATATAGTAGCCCCAACATAGATTTACATAGCATAGCCACGCCATACAGATCAATATAGTAGCCCCTAACATCAATTTCTATAGCCTAGCCACACCATACAGATCAATATAATAGCCCAACATAGATTTACATAGTATAGCCACACCATACAGATCAATACAGTAGCCCAACATAGAGTTACATAGTATATCCGTATCATACACATAAAAATATAGTAGTCCCAACACAAATTTACATAGTATAGCCACACCATACAGATCAATACAGTAGCCCAACATAGAGATACATAGTATAGCCACACCATACAGATCAATACAGTAGCCCAACATAGAGTTACATAGTATATCCGTATCATACAGATAAAAATATAGTAGCCCCAACACAAATTTACATAGTAGAGCTACACCATACAGACATTCAGGCCAATCTTTCAGAAAAAAGCAAATAATTCTAGTTGTAAGTAAAGTAAATTACCTTGCGGTAGCTGCATAATTCCCACCGTCAGTCCAGCGATGATGTCGTTAGGAAGATCCGATCGCCACTTGTACTTTCTCATGATCTTCAAGAACGGGAGAAAACTGAACAGACACTTTTTCCTCTTGGTCGGCGTGCATTCACACGCATCTCGTGCTTTCTGTCTAATTGACTCAGTGACACTTTTCTGTGTGGTACCAGTCTTCATGAATTGGTTCCTGAAAGTCTGGGTCTTGTACAGAGGTCTCCGGATGGAGACACATTCCGACCCCCCATCCGGTGCCCTGTGGCTATAGTTATCTGTCATAGCAGCTCGTATGACCAGTGGCAACAAAACTTAAAAGTCAAAATCTTCTTAAAGCAAAGTGAATGAATGGGCTGCAACCGTCTTTAAAAAGGCCAACTTGTTTCAGAGATGTTAAAACGCTTATAAAAATATCTTACAACACAGCGCAAACAATGACAAATAAGAGTGTCTGTGAAATGTGGCAAGCAATACGCGCACCTGCTCTTAGATTGTCTTCAGCAAGCAGCACGTCACGTGGTCGCGGTAGTATTTGCAGAGGAGTCCCAGCAGGAATACCTGTGCCGACGGTGGAGGAACACACAGTGCATCTCTCTGGCCCCAGCTACCTGTTTTAAAGCAGACGGTCCCTCATTATTCATGATGTTTCACGTCACGGGGTATTCGCTTTCAATATATGTCCTTATGTACACTGGGACAGTGTTCGGGCGGCGGACAATGACGGACATGCACGCGTCAACGGCCTGTATGTTATATCACACACGTGACCTGTGACTTATTTGTTTTCAAGATAGTCGCAGTTAGTGTTCATTGAAGAAGTATTAATGACTGTTTTCATGTAACGGGAAACAATGTGGTCTGAAACCATGACTCCAGATTCAGTATCTGAATTTTAATAAACCTTTAGATATCAGTATTTATCCATTTTCTTTAATGAGAGGGGAAAGAGTGTGATCTGAGAATGTCACCCTGTCTTACACCAGAATCTAAATTTCAATAAACTTTTGTAAATCAGTATATTTTTTTAAAACAAACCCGAATGTGATGAGAAAGAGTGTGGTCTGAGAATGTCACCCTGTCTTACACTTGCATCTGTATTTTAATCAACTTTTTATAATCAGTAACTTTACATATCCTCGAGTAAGAGGTAAAATATGGTCTGAAATATTCACCCTGTCTCAAACGGTATCAAAATATTAATCGTTTTTTGTTTAGCAGCATTATATATGTCCTAATGAACGTATTCCTGGAATTCCACTCTGTCGTACATCCATATCTAAACTTTAATAAACTTAAATGGAAATTATTTTTCACAAGTGTATGGTTAACTATAACCTTACACCTACAAATTTCGTCATCTTGAGTATGATGTAATGAGAGATTCTTGGGTACATTTTATAAGTGTTTAAGTGAATAATTTTTTCCCTGCAGCCACAATAGTCGTATGTGTATCCTCCGCAGACGATATTTGATCTTGTTTTTATATGCATGAATGCTTTCAAGCATTTACCCCAGCGTTTGTTTTGCTTGCATGTTTTCGTTCACTATGAATAAGTTACCTTGTTTAGATCAGCTAATTACTGGTTACCATATGTCAATAAAATCATTCAGCATTGTGTAAACATGCAATAATCCCATGTAGAGCGTTCAGCGAACTATTATGCACATGTGTTATTTTGGCATATGATAATCATTTTGGATACGTATCCATCAACGATGGAGATTTCTTAAACAGGACATGAGCCAGTTCTTGGAAAACCTTCGTCTTAAGGAGATTTCTTAAACTGGACATGAGCCAGTTCTCGGAAAACCTTCGTCTTAAAGCTTGACAGTTATGACAAATACTGCGTGCGGGTATACGCATGAACACTATATATGGTGAACTTAAAACGTTAAAGATCATGATTAGTTTGTAGAGAACACTGATAATCCAATCTACTAGGAATGACAGCTATCCCCCACTCCTAATAGTTATGATGACGTCTTTGGGGTTTTTTGGGTTTTTTTTATTTTTTTTATTTTACGTTTTATTTATTTTCAGAATTCATCGTCAAAGCTTACTTTCCCTCTGAATGCTAGACTGCATTTTCACTTACAGCTATAATCAAATCATCAATGAGATCACCAATACCCATCCATATATTAATTATTTTATCTTTATGTGCACGTGCATAATAATAATCGCAATTATCCTGATTCCGGAAGAATTAATCCGTTGCACTTACCTGTAACCTTTTACATAAGCAACAAAACATGCATGGCTACTGCACCCATGTTTAACCACCCATGTGTTACACTCGCCGTTGCTTACGACGAACAAAAGCGGTACAACACTAGATTAGTATGTATGTCCCACACGTCTGAAAAACACACTCACCGCAAACATTATCATATCCAACAAGGATTAGCTTGGGATATTTAAAACGGTTATATAGATTCAGAAAAAATTGTTTTCCCTGCAAATACAACAGTTGTGCGGCTCAGACACTTTGTTAATATTTACTTAATCTGTTTAAATGTAAGTATCTACTGTTTGCATGCGAGTAGATCAATGCGAAGCTTTGTTATGTTCCTGAACAAATGGACAATAATAGCACTAAGTGAGATTTCTTCTTAAACAATGCTGTCATTATAATACTTGACACGATGATACCTCAGATATATCGTACTACATTGACAGCATATTTTATTGCATGCCGTTAATCCGACCATCGCTTTAAACTATTCTAACTTCTAATTGACTCGTAATCCGGACATTTATCAATCCGGACAATTAGTGTCCGCATTAACAAGGTTTAATTAAATTTACTAACATTTTTAATAGTTTACGATAGAAAAATTAAAATGTATCAAGAAATATATCGCTGTAACATATTGGTTTGTAAATTTGGTTTGAAAATTCACACACGATTGAATTATAATCATTATAATTCATATATTGTAAATCTGTATATCGACAGCGAATATTAAAACACCTGCAGTCATATTGGCAGTGTATGTTTCTAGCACAGGCTTTATTCCTGGATTGCCACCTTTAACTATTGAAAAGCCACATAGGTCATTTCACTATTAAATAACTCCATTTCTTATCATAATCTTAAACATAAATTCAGATGCCATATTTGCGCAGCATTTACTTTCAATCCCCACGTCGATTAAACTCCTTTTATGACAAGTGTTACTAGTGTAATCAAATTAAGAAGAACCAGGTAATCTTTATTCCTTGATCAGAAGATGTTATTAAATGTGTTTAGATATGACAGTTCAAGTGGTCGGTCACACGCTTTGTCTGTTTCCAAAATAAGTCATTCCTACACGATCTGTCTACTTGATCCTGTAGGCGTAACAGTCCGGTATTAAGGACCCGTGTAAGACACCAGGGGGGTATGGGTGATTTGTTCTTCATGTCCTGACACGAACATTACCATTCATAATGCAAATAGGGCCGGGGGTAGCTTAGTGGTTAAAGCGTTCGCTCGTCACGCCGAAGGCCCGGGTTCGATACTTACATTGGTACAATGTGTGAAGCCCATTTCTGGTGCCCCCCGCACTGATATTGCTGGAATATTGCTAAAAGCGGCGTAAAAGTAAACTCACTCACTATAATTCAAATATACCAAAAACGTACATGAAATATTTCGGAAATAATTAAATATTGTGTATGCGTGATGAGCCATTATTCAATATTTGTTTTCAAAGTTAAACGCATATAATTGTACAGCAAAGTACGTTTATAACGAACACGCTTATGCAGAAATGATATAGTTTGGCCCCGGAGACGTCGCCGTCGAAATGGATAATGCGAGCTACGGTTGTGACAAACAAGACTTCGAGGTCCATTTGAGTTCGTTATAGTTTACAGTACAGTGAATAGAGAGCTGTGATGTATTTTATGCTTGTTATTTAAACCATACTCAAAAAGGTATCTCCATTGACAACCCTATTAGAAAAGGTGACACTTACCAATGGTTGTCTTGTGTTCCTTCAACAATATTAGCTTAGCTGACGGGTTATCACGTATATATAACGTATTAGACTTGGCAAAACGTCACCATTACACTTGTGACGTTGACAGATACGTTGATCATTGTTACAGAGCATTTTGTAAATGGACAACATTGACAGCGGCTGTGTCTGTGTTCGTGTGGACACCGGTCAGTGACACCACGGTGATGACGGTGTCTGTGCAGGGGACACCGTGGTGATGACGGTGTCGGTTCAGGTAACGCCATGGCGACGACAGAGCCTGTACTGGGAACACCACAGGAGCAGACCCGACACTGTGCTTTTAAATATCAACTGAGCCAGAAAAACACGTCAATGTTATCATTTCAATATCATTTTTATAAACCCCAATATCATGCTTCTTTTCAAATATTACATGTTTTGATTCTCACTCCACATATTGAATAGCAGGAAATTAGAATTTTCCTGACCTCATTTGACCTCAAGATAAACTAAACTTGTACTTTTATGTGCTGTGTTTTATGTTAAGAACTTGAGTGTATTGTTGGTGACGAGCGCCACTGATGGGACACCATGCGGTCGTATTTTCGCGAACACCTGGTGTCATCAGTGCCTGACAGTGATTCATAGACACATGCTCATAATGTAGGTGAAGTCGTACTGTGGACTCATTTTTCAGCAGACATTTCTTGTAATATGTAAAAGGGTCTAAGGCTATCATTATCCTCATGAAAATATAACCCCGTGAAGATCCGGGTTAGAATTGGTCTTTAGCAATCCATGCTTGTCCTAAGAGGCGACTAACGGGTTCGGGTGGTCAGGCTCGCTGACGTGGTTACGTAGATCGATGCTCATGCTGTTGATCACTGGATTGTCTGGTACAGATTCGATTATTTACAGACCGGCGCTAATACGATGACACGTGTCAGCCACGTCAGCGAGCCTGACCAGCCGATCCCGTTAGTCACTTCTTACGACAAGCATGGGTTGCTGAAGACCAGTTCTAACCCGGATCTTCACGGCATGTACATTAAAATATTTAATGTTTGCTCGCACATTGCTATCGCCTGTCTGGCAGCTGACGTAATAGCATGCACATTACATTAGAACATTTTATGAGCGTTGAAAACAATATCGACAAACGTAATCTCATTACCCAAGGATGCAATGTATACCAGACCCAAAATCAAAACCTGTGTGAACGTGGTGATGTTTAAGTTTTAGGTTACCTTGAAAACATCTCACAAACAATAACAAAAATGTTTTTTTCAATTCGACAATAAGCTGCAAAAGTTAGTTCAGAAATTGTTTTGACAAATTAATGAAGCAAAATATTTTTACCAAGCCAAAGTCACAGACCCTTGCTAATGGAAACGTGAGCGAGTATGATTTTACGCCATCAGCAAAATCCAAGCGTTATCAAGACGGATAACCAGCCTCACACACGTTGTGAACGGACCCCGGGAGTCAAGAGCAAATGCTTTTACCAAAGGTTACCCAACTTCCCCGCAAGAAGAAAGAACGCCAAAAAAAAAAAAAAATGCACAAAAAGGTGTCGTAAAAGATCCTTTGACACAGGAGAACTCGGTGTGTTTGTATTCGGATCAATCTATTTACATTGTCTTCATCAC